TTAAATATAGATACAGTACACACTTTAAACAAACAAAAAACTAAATTTACTCAGTTAACTAAACAAAATTAATCAATTAAATTATACATAAATTATCAACGAATTTGTTGTAACTAAATTATACACTAAATATCAATGAATTTGTTGTAACTAAATTATACACTAAATATCAATGAATTTGTTWTAACTAWATTATACACAAAATATCAATGAATTTATTTTAACTAAATTATACACAAAATATCAATGAATTTGTTKTAACTAAATTATACACTAAATATCAATGAATTTGTTATAACTAAATTATATACAAACTATCAATGAATTTGTTTAATTATGTACCACATACAAGCTTAAGCCTAAAGACAGGATTTTTACCGTACTTGGGAAGGAATGTAACACTATTTCTGCTACCTCCCAGTGAACCCTATTGGTCATTTACCTTACATTGTATTACATACACACACAATATTATATAACTATGAGCCCAAGCTCTAGCTCGAGGAGTCACCCAATGTATTGAATAGAGTAAAGACTTGCATACATACAATACTAGGGTCCGAGTTAGGCCTAGTATAACAACCATTGTAATATTGTGTCTATTATTAATAAACAGTTTTAAGTTAATAACTATTTGTGTTGATTTAATTATAACTTGTGTTCACTGACTCCCACACTCATCGGTCCGGCGTTTCCTTCCTTACAAAACAATTTTAAAAATTTATAATAACAAAAATTAATTAATCTTAATAATTAATTGTAATTCTATTTATTCATATGACTCCAATTTAAAGTACATATAATTTATATTTTATATTTTCAATATATTTATATTTTATAAATAATGATCTTGATTCTTTTTAAAACATAAATTTAATATCTATTTTTATACTTGTATCTAAAAAAATATTTATTTTATAAATGATAATAAATTAATAAGTTAGTCAAAATTGATACAATAAAAAAATTATAATTATTAATTTCGATTTTGAATCTATAAAATATAAAATAATAAGTAATAATTTATCATAAAATATAGTTAKATATATGTTTATATTAGTTAAAATTTATTATAAAATGTAACAATATATCAATATATAATAATAATAAAAACTTTATTGCTTAATCATTATTATTAATTTATAATTTCATCTAATCATACGATTATAACTTTACTTATATATCATTTATATTTTTTAAATATAATAATATCATAATTTATTAAAATGTTTGTTTTTGTGTATAAACATTGAATTTATATATATATTTTCTGTGCAACTAATTGCACCTAAAAAATATTTATTATTAATAATAATTTATATAGATGAAATTTAAGAAATTATATTGCACCTAAATAAAATAACAAAAATAAATTAAAATACACTAGATAATGTAAATATTTTTATAAATATTATATATTTAAAAAAAACTATTTTTAAATTATAAGTAATTTGCTAATTTTTATAAAACATTAAATATTGAGTTAAAATAATAAAATATTTGTATCAAAAAGTATATAGATTACAATTTTAATAAAAATAATGAGAATATTAATTTACAATAGTTATTTTTTTAAATTTTAACAATTTTTTTATTTAAAATAAATATTTAAATAGACAATTAAGTAGCATTTAAATTAATATTAATATAAATAAAGTTTTCTATAGATTCTATATAAATAAGATTAATATACAATATTTTTTTTAACTAGAAAAATACAGTTTAATGATAACAATTAAAACATTGACTTAATGATTTACATTTTTGAATCAATTTAAATAGTTATTTTTTTAATTAATATTTTATTAATGTTTAGATAAACAATTTAATAAACAACTACTGTATATGACATTAAGTAATTATTAAAGATTAAATAATTTTTTTTAAATAAATAAAAAACAACAACAAAAATATACAGATTTTTAATAATTTTATCCAAAGTTATCTAAGACTAGAAAATGATTAGCAAAAAAATTTAAGACAAATATTGTAAACTCCATGGTATTCATTGGAAATATATCTAAACAATAGAAACCAATTTCCGGTTCGGTTAAGTGTTCAATAAATTGCAATAATCTATATCTATGTCGTATTGAATGAGTTTTATTTACTGATGCTTTATAGATTAGATTATATGGTTTATGAGCTGATGTCAATATCCAGGTGCACATCATTGTCATTATAAATACTACTGAAACTAATAATATAAAAATACCGAGTAATACAATCCGTACCATTGGTGTTGATTTTGGTGAACATATCAGAAACAATACAATTTCTAAACCGGGAACCGTTACATAATAATATAAAAATAATATATATTTATATAAATTATTATATTGTTTAACTAATTTGCATAAATCGTTATGTTTGCGAATAGCATTGATCATTGTCGACCATTTACCTGTTTTGATACCATTTTCAATACTATCTTTGACTTCAATGTATTGATATTTTAGATAACAGCATATCATAAATAAAAAGACAACACCAACTGAACAAAGTCCAGCCATTTGTTGAGCCAAATAGTAATTGGTTAGTATAGCAAACAGTATACTAAATATGGTTAGACCAGATCTGTGATCCAAATATGCCATTAGTAGTAAATACATACAATATAGATTTGTTAGTATTAATAGTCCCCAATAGTTAATCGGCAAACAATAGGTTGTCAACAATTTTGAATACATAGCTAAACGATTTCTATGTTTTAAATCCATAAATGGCATCAGTTTATTGTATTTATAGCCATTGATGAAGTCGATAATATATAATTGTTTTGTCCTAAACTGATATTGTACTACTAGTCCAACAAGTAATACTACAAGCGCTGCATCAGCCATTGCCGATGACAGCAATCTAGGCATACCTACCGCTACATAACTGGCATCGCCTACCAGTGCCGATACCCTAGCATTTCCGGTTATTGTCGATATTGAATAGCGTATGAATACTAACAATACCATCAGTTTAACACATACTATGACTAACTCTTTTTTAGCAAATTGTTGACCATTGATATACTCTTCGCTAATATGATGATATAGATATGTGTTTACAGAAAATGTTTCCAATTTGTTGCCAATTGAATACTCAATATTCATATTTTACTAATTTATTTAAGAAATGTTTATCTATTATTGCTATAATACCAGTGATTATATTAAGAATATATTTTAGTATTTTATTATAAAACTTCTATTGTAACCAATACTATATATATATATATATTATAAACTTATAACAAATACAATAAATTTATTATAAATATATATATTTCAGTTTAATATAATTTATTATTTGTATGATTAATCATAAAATTTTAACATTGTAATCAAAATTTATAATATAAATAGACTAATTAATCTTAGTAATTAATTGTAACCTTATTTATACATATCACTCTAACTTACATATTATTTTTAATATAACTTTTATATTTTTAATAATTTCTAATATTAGAAAATTTTCCTGTTATTACTTAATTAATTATCTTTATGTACCTAAAAAAATTTTTATTTTATAAAATATCTTATGTTATTAAGCATGTCAAAATTGACATATTAAAAATTATTATTATTAAGTTTATTTCTAAAAAAATAAATAAAAAATATTAAGTTATTTATATTGGATTAAATTGAGTTTACTATATATATATATAATATATTATATATAGTATTATATATTTTATAAAATATTTCTTGATTATAACAATTATGATAATATAAATAAATAATTTATCATAAGATATAGTTAGAAATATGTAACAATGTATATATATATATATATTATATATAATCGAGTAATATATAATAATAATAATAACAATATTATAAAGTTGATTACTTAATAGGGTTGCTAGACGTCCTATATTTTAGAGAAATACCTTCCGATTTGTGTTCAATAAAACACATTTTCCGGCCACTAATTTCCTGGCAATACAATTGTCGTCCACTTTTATATTATTAATTATAAACATAATAAATATGTGTAAATTTGTTTTAAAAAAATTAAATTATGATTTACTGTAATTTATTGATTAATTATTCTTAAAATAATATAACAATAGTATTATTCAATTTTATAAAAATCTACTTTTTTATGAAATTTTTTTATTATAAAAAAGTCTTCTTAATCTATCGGTATTAAACTAATAATGATTTATTTGAAGAAAAATATATTACAAATTGTGAAATTATATCAAATGTAACACCTTATATGAAACATATATTAAAATAATGTAAAAATTAATACATTTATAAATAATTATTAATTTAGTATACCGTAATTAATAGTAAATAAATATTCATTTCAATATTAATATTATTAAACTTTTTCAATGATTACTTTTTTCAATACTATATAAATACAAAAACATATATTGATTTAATAGAATTTATAAATAGTTATTAAATATTGATTTTTTATTATTATTAAATAAAAATGTAAATTGATTTTATACAAAATAAAACAAATATGATTATTCAAAAATTATGTTAATTACATAATATATTAATAGTATATATATATATATACATTTTTTGAAAATATACAAATATTAAATTTATTAATTACATTAAAAATATTTTTTTTAAACATAATCAAAATTTAAAAAAAAATTACATTTATTTTATAAATAACATATTGTTTTCTTCTTCAATAAATTTATAATGAAATTTATTTGGTCATTACATTTGATTGAGAAAAAACATTTTAAATTTAATAGTAAATTTAATTTGGATTTAAACATTTAGATTTGTTATTTTATTATAATTTTAATTATTGAAATAATTTTTTTAAAAAATTATTAATAATTTTTTTAATAAAGATTTTCGCCTCCAGTTTGGTGAGCGCGCGGATGGGCCCACACATAGACACACACAATACATACATACATACATAGATAATATGATTTTCGCAATTATTTTTGTTTTTGTTTTTTAAATATTATTTGGTCTCAAAAAATTGTATAAATTTTTTGTTTGTTTGTTTGTTTGTTGTGTTAAATACTGTATAAATATTTGTTAAGAGCTGTCGTAATCGCAAGTGTTTTGCGGCGATTTCCTAAAGTCCAGTCCCGACATTACACCGTTAGTATGCGGTACGGCCAGACTGGCCGTATTCAACGATGAATTATAGTTACACTTTGAGCAATATCTGCGTAGTCYTGAACTACTACTACTACTACCGGTGCCCGTTGGCCGACGTTTGGGTCGCACGTACTCGCATTGCATTATAAAACCCAACTCTTCGTGCATTTCATTGCAAATTGATTGCTATATATATATCAAAAAAAAATTATTTAGTTAATTATATTTATCTACAATTTTTATGTTAAAAATTAATAATTAAAAAAAAATATTTTACACACAAAAAAACCTATAATTATAATTATTTTTTGATTATATTATATATATATAAAGTACTTTCTGTATATATATTTTCAATAATAACTATTATGCTATTGCATTATAACTTATAATTTATAAGTATTTAAAAATAAATAAATACTTATATTATAATTTTATTTAAATTGATAATTTAAAATAACTGTTAGAATAAAATTGATATTTCTGAAATAACAATTTATTTAAAATTAGTCTAAAATTATATATATATATATTATTTAATATAATATTAAATTTTTATAAACTGTAATAATTTAAATAAATAATATTTGTATGTATTATATATTTCTAATAATTACTTCAAATATAGAAAATTTATTTCAGTACATTCTTTAAAATAATTAAATATAAAAAAATATATTTTTAAATTTCTTGAAAATAATTTAATACGATAAAATAATTAATGTATAAAGTAATCAACTAGATACATTATAAATAATTATATTATTGTTATTATCAAAAAACATTTGTAATATTTTTTTTAAAAAAAAATGTAAAGCTAATTTCAAAACGCAAAACAAATATTATACTTATTTTCTTTTATGATTAAAATACAAAAATTAAATATATTTAGAAAAAATCCACAAAAACTATAGTAATTTAAAACAATTAAAATAAACATAAAAACTACACACAAAATCTACATTATAAAAATTAAATGTAAAAAATTAAGTCACATATAAAGCTATTTTTCAGAATACTTTAATACTACATAATAAATATACTTTAATATAATGTGTTTATATTGATATATATTGTATTTATTAGATAAATAAAACATAAGTAAAGAAACCAACCAAACAAACAAAACAGACAAAAAAACACAAACAAAAATAAACTCAAAATAAAACTTAATTAAATTTAAGAAAATTAAATATAATAAAAATAATATACTGTTTATTATTAAACAGTAGTTGTTTTAATCAATTTGTAAGCTTTTTTATTTTACTATAGATGTCCTAAAGTATGTACTCTTTAAGTCCACACACACACACACAAAATATTTGTTTTATCTATATTTTGTTATTATATTTATCTTGTTAGTCAATCCTCTGAAAACACACACACACACACATACATATACACACATACATACATACAAACACACACATACATATAGACTCACATACATATACACACATACATATACAAACACACACATACATACACACGCATACATACACACATATACATACACACACACACACACACAGACACAGAAAAAACTCAACAAAACCATCAACAACTACTACTTTATATCATCTACCGGTGCTATTGTGTAGTACTTACTCTGGATTCTTTGGCATTTTTCTTGGCTTTGATAAAAAACTCGGACATTGCCGTAAATAAGGCCAGTGCCAGACCTAACAATAGTACAACAAAAACGCCGCCAATATTTTCCAAACCCAATGGACTGGCCTTTCCTTCTTTGTTAACCTCATCCCTAATACAGGTTAGTCCCGGACTTTTCCACCACTTGTCGTACAGCATCTGTATCTCACCTTTTTCTTGTAGCTCTAGKATGGCCAGTGAAATGCGATCCTTCCATACGGAACCTACCGTTTTTTAATAAAAATAAAAAATTTAATTATAAATAAATAAATACATATAAAATTATTTAAATTATTAAAAAATATCTATTGTCTGTATAACTATGAGATTTAATAGCTTTGTCTAATTAGTTATTTATTTAATTAATTGTTTTTTATTTGATAATTATTAATTTGTATAACTAATATAGAATTCATTCATGAAAATTATTGATTTAATTTAATATTATTAATATATTATATTATAATTAATGGTATCATAAATAAATTATTTCTCTTTAAAATCTAATAAGTTTAATATTTATATAATTTTAAAAATAATAAACTATGTAAAGTTTAAAAACTTTGTAAAAAATATTTAATTTTAACTATTATTTATTAAAATAATAATAATTTTAAATATTGAATAAATAGCAATATAAATTATATTTGTGTTAAAATATATGAATCTTGAATATAAGATAATTTAATTTTTAAAACTTATTATTGAAATAAATAAATTTAAGCTATAATAGCTATAATGATAACTATTTTATTTTTTAGATTATATTATATGAGTTAAAGACTATAATTTAAAAAAAACTCAATATAATTTACTTTTCTTATTAAAGTTATATTATAAGATAATATTATAAAATTTTTAGTAGTTATATTAAATTATTTAAGCAAAAATAAAATAAATAAATAAAAATACTCATGTGTATCAACAACAAAATAAATTTATAAAATTAATGATACATTATTTACTTTAAAGTCATAAAATTAAATGATATCTTAAATTAAATGAAAATAATATTAATTTATGATGATAAATTATCATATTAAGTTTAAATGATATTAAATCCCAAAATATAATATTAAGGTTTATTTAAATTTTCTAAAATATTATATAAATTATACAATCAAATTATTAGTTGAAAAAATATAATAATCATTTTTTTCTAATATAATTATTGCCAATAAAAATCAAATTTTTTTTTGGATATTTAGTTTACTATTGATATAACAATTTGTTTTTAGTATTACTTTTATAGTATTACTTGTTTTTTTTTTTCGTGTAGTATAATGACTGTGCAAACGATTTGTCGTTTTATTAGTATTTTTGTAATCATTTTTTTCTCTCAATCATTGATTCAAAACACTGATAGCTCTCATGTGAGCCATATATTAAACATTAGTTTGTAAGTGATATACATATATATATATATTAATGCGTGAATAAAACTATTAATTATATTTTTAAAAAATATTATATAATACTAAACTGTATATATATTCAGTATATATTATTGATAACTAAAATTTATTTTTTAAGAAAAATATATTTTTCGTAATTTTTAGATAAGAAAACTTATTTTTCTTTAAATTTTTTTAAAATTAATTTATTCAAATGCGTGATAAAAATTAATTAAATTTTAAAACGAATAAAACAAATAAATTCATTTAATATAATATTTTTTTTGATTAAACAAAAATAAATAATATTAAAATTTATTTTTTTTTATAAAAAATTAGTTATATTACAGTGCAAATAACAAATATTAACAAAGCAAATAATAAAATAGTAAATATTTATATTATATGTCTATAGTATGAAATTTAATTTAATTTCCATCAAATATATATATATTTTTCCTATATATATATAAAATAAATATTTAACAATATAAGTAGATATTTTAGAAATTTATATTTTATAAAATTCCCTAAATTTTTTTCTACTAAAATAAAATTTAATGTGAAAGCTTTTTATTATATATATATATATAYATAYATATATATGAAATAAAATTGAATATTTTATTTTCTATATACTATATAAATATCAATATTATATAACGTATATATATAAAGTAATTTATATAATATAAAGACGATTTGAACCCTCATAACTAAAAATCCAATGTATGTAAAAAATGTGCAAAATATTGAAATATTTTTTTTGTCGATCATATAATATTAAATTTTTTGTTTGTTGTCAACACATTTTAAATTTGCATAACTATTGTTATAACTGTAAATATCGTATATATATATATTTTTTAAAAACTTTATGATTATTATTATTATTTTGTCGATTCATACAATATTTTTTTGTGTTGTTGAGCAAAATAAAAAATAAATAAAATTTTCTGTATGTGTCTGTGATTATTTGATTTTTTTTATAATAAACTTGAATTGTTTGAAAAAATAATTTTTTTTGAGAAAATAAAATAAAAATCAATTTTGTTGTTGAAAAAAATTGAATATGAWTTGATTGTTTAGTTTATTAAATACATGTAATGTTTACAGTATATATATATATATATATATATATATATATATATATATATATATATATATTGTATATATTTGTTTCCTATAATTATATAACTACTGTATATATTTATATAAACATTTTGTTTCATTAATATTAGTGTTTTTGAAACAAAACAAAACTAATAATTTTCTATCAAATATTTGTTGGATACTTAATGCTAATAAAATTTATATTATTAATACAATTACAAGTTGCTAAACACCCAGTAAATTAGATAATTTATTTAATTATGTTATACTGTATGTTATTTGTTTATCTGAAAACAACAAAATGATTATTTAATATAAAATATCTACAAATAATATATATATATATATATATATATATATATATATAGACAACACATTAGTAGTACATTAGTTGTAGAATATATAGTACAGTATACTACAGATGTTTTGTTAAGGAGTAATGGTTTTTAAGATATTTATTGCAATAAAAATACTGTTAAATACTATTATTGTAAAACAAAGTTTTTATTTTGCCTTTTATTGCTGTCTTTAAAGCTATTATTTTAATAGAAATATCGCTCTTTATTTCTCTCTCTCTCTCTCTCTCTCTCTCTCTCTCTCTCTCTTTCTCTTTCACTAATAACAAATCAATGCTAATTTAGATTTATTTTTATTACATATAAAGACTGGTATATTTTATACTTAATTTATATCTATATAAAGATATATATATTTATATATATATATATACAAAGTATTGATATATACTTTTAGCTTTTCTATATTTATATATATATATATATATATATATCTCTTTTTCTCTCTTAAATATATAAATGAATTGTTGGACAATAAATTGGATGTCAGCAGAAAAATCGGTGTCTAAGCTATAGCTATAAACTGTTATTAGATGAGAGAGAAAGAGAGAGAGTGAGAGAGAGAGAGAGAGAGATCAATGTTTCTCAAATCTATATTTTGTATTATAAGATAAAAAACAAAAATTACAACAAGTATTATAAGTATTATAATAAAATGTTATTTTCCTATATATATATATATATATATAATATTTATAGTATATATATATTGTATTAATATATAGATTTATAAATAAAATATACTATACTATATTATGAAGTTTGACATGTTATCAAAAAAACAACAAAAATAAATATCAACTATATTATAGACAATATATTTATATATATATTTTCTCGTATATTATTATCATATTTTTTGGTGAATATGCTATTTTTAATAATATTATCCCCAGTATATAGACATTGATAAAAAACATATTAATACAGTATAATGTTATTTATGTTGCATTTAATATATTATATAATATTATATGACCTGTGGCTGCGATTTTTGGCCAATAAATTTCTTAGCAATTCATTTCATATTAATGTAAATATCTCTCGACGGCTATATATATATATATATATATCAGGGTTAAGCAAGAGGGTAGGGTGGAGTCAAGTCAAATAACCCCCACCCCCTAWGATCKAGATTTTGGGATKTGACCCCACYGAGACTTTTTGACYAAATTAAAAAAAAGTGAACCGCCCCCCCCAAAAAAAAGAACCCMAGATTTTTGAGAATTTTGTWAGTTGACTCATCCTAGACCTCCCTTAAAATCCAAAAACCTTGCTTAACCCTGATATATATATATATATATTATATTATATTACATTACTGTTTCAAGCAATTTTTCAAAAACTTATATTTATAAGGCTATAAATATAAATATATATATATAGATGGATGGATAAATCGATTGGTGCCATCAATTTCCATATAATATATAATTGGCATTTTGTTATATATTGTCTATCAATAGCAGCATTGGTAGACATAACACAGCAAATAACAGAGAGAGAGAGAGAGAGAGAGAGAGAGAGAGAGAGAGAGAGAGAGAGAGAAAGAGAGAGAGAGAGAGAGATTATATTATTTTGTAGAATATTCTATAGAAAATAGTAGAATGTTATCATTATTATAGATGAAAATTATTTGGTATTATAAACAGTATATATATATATATATGGATAAAACAAATAATATTTTTGCTGATACAGATAAAACAAAAATTATTGGTTAGAAAAATTTACATGTATTGCCCATTTATTGATACTATAAAATAAAAAATCATTTATATTGTCACCATACTAATGTTATAAATTTTCATACAGTATATAAATTATATATAATATATATATATATATATATATATATATATATATATATATATATATATATATATATATATATATATATAGAGAGAGAGAGAGAGAGAGAGAGAGAGAGTATGTGTAAAATAAATAGGATTTATCATTAAGTTTTAAAAAAATTGTCTAAATATAAAACCAAAGTTTTGAGGCCAAAATAGATGACCAAATAATAAATGTTTTAGAAAAAAGATGTTCAAACATTATTTTGGTGAAAAAAATAAGATAAATGTGTATATAATTTATATCCAAAATCGATGGATGAATGTCTTAATGAAAAATACATTTCACACATTTTATCACATTTTTTCACACATTTGCTCTCTCTCTCTCTCTCTCTCTCTCTCTCTCTCTCTCTCTCTTACTTTCTTTCAGATTTAAGTATACTCTAAGCTAGCGATCGACACATAAAATAAATGATACGTTAAAAATATAGTACAATATAGTATCAATGCATTACTTTTTTTCTCTTTGTGATACAACGACAATAATATTTTATAGAAAAAATCAGCGACAAAAATATTACTTAAATTATATATATATAGATATATATAACTTCAAGTAATTTTCACTATTTTACTTTCAAGAAAAAACATATAATACTTTAGTTGTTATTCAAACTTTAAATATTTTTAAAAAATGTTTTGATTTTTTGTTTCTGGTGTATTAGTAAAATATTTTGTGTGTTATTGTTGTTGTGAGTGTTAAACTGATTGATGACTTTAATATTTATTTGTTGTTTAAAAAAAGAAAGAAAGAAAGAAAGAGAGAGAGCTTTATACCAATAAATATAGTAATTTCAATAATATATATATATATATATAATATATTGTGCTATTATTTTATCATTAATCATTTAGATATCAAACAAAAATTTTTTAACTTATGCTAAAAATAATAATAATTATATTATACATCATTTTTTTGATCAGATATTATTTATATTGATATATTTGTTATTTCTTAAAAAATACTTTAAAATAATCAATTAAATAATATTTAATATTAAAACTATATATTTAGATATATAATTTATTATTTTAAACAAAAAATAAATACTAAATTTTCAATTTTTATAAAATAAAAATATTCATCAAAAAAATTCTGTTTTGCATGAATTTAGACAATAAATAACTAAATTATTTAAAAATAAAATTTCTATTCTCTATCGATTTAAATTAAAATCTCGAAAAATAATAAAAAAAACAAAATATAAAATAATACGACAGAAAAAAGTTATGTCTGTCACGTCTACATCTATTATCTACCGATCCCTTTATCATCATAAGCTTAGGCATACAAACATACACATAGACACACACTTACCCATAGGCGTTCCGATTCCGTATCCCTTATTGTCTAACAGTCCTCCAATTTGTGTCAAATTGCAGTCGCGTTGAACCATATAGTCTAACATTGTCTATACAAACACAACAACAACAACAACAACAAAACATATCAACGTTTGAATAAAATATTTAAATTTATTATATATTAGATATATATATATATATATATATATAAATATATTATATTGAATACAAAAAAAAGTGTGGTAAATGTGTTTTGTATTTTAAAATTTTGTTTATTTTATTGTGTGTATGTTTTTCATTGTTATTGTTGGTATTTTTATAAATATATATTTTTTTGTTTTCAATATACTGTATATATATATATATATATATAATTAGGTTAGTGCTGTCAGTCAGTCAGTCAGTCAATCAATCAATGGCTMTATAAGTGTTGACACTATACATACCGATTCCATAAGGAAGGCATAGTCGCCATCGATCACCCGTTTGCGTCCCTCCTCGTAGTCGGTAACAAATACTGTCGGATTTTTTTCCATAAATGACCACATTTTACGATAGGTGTCAATCTTGGAGTCCTATTATTATTATTATTATTGGTTAACAAAATAAATAGATAATAATAATTATTATTTTATTAGTAGTATTTAATATTATTATCAAATAAATATTCATAATTATATATAGAGTAATAATAATATACAGCAACTATAATAGTATTAGAATTTACAGTAAATAATTACATTTTATGTATAATTTAGTAAAATTATTATAATTATCCCAAAAAATAATGTCATATTTACTGACTTTCGATGAATTCAATTTTAATATATATATACTGTATATATATATATATATATCTAACAAATTGATTTCGGAAATTTTCATAAAGTTAGCAATTAGTCTATTGTATAGTATTTTATACTTTATAATAAAAATAATAAAAATTAAATACAATATTACTTTGTTATAAATACTAGTACTACTAATAATACTGTAGTAGTTATGACACATAAACAATATGAATAATTAGATGCAATGTCATACATACCAAACAAATCCAAAATAATTAATGTGATTTTATTTAATTTAATAAACCTGTCATAATATATTTTATGAAATAAAAATGCTTAACTTTGACACTGATATTTTAATCGATAATATAATTCAAAATTTTATATATACATATTATTATTAATTTTTATTAAATGTCTTAAAATATTATACTATTTTAAAAAGATATTATTTTAAATATAGTATTAAATATACACATACTTTATATACTTTACTGTTATTCACTATTAGATATAAAGTACAAAATAATATACAAATAAACTAACAAAAAAAACTATATTTATTTATCATAGACTCACTAATTACGTTTTTAGCTATTGTCTAATTATAGTTATAATTAAATAATCTAATAATAAAACAAACTTGAGATTGTTTAATTTAATTTAGATTTAGTAACAATTCTATATATAGATTAATGTTATTATTATAATCTATTTAGTATTGCAAATATATATATATATATATATATTTAATTTATTTAACATAAATTATAAAAATGTGATAAACATTTTTATGCGTTTTAAAAATAAATAATATATTTTACGGATTATTTAGTATTCAATGATAGTATTTATAATTATCAAAATTATTAAAATTTTTTGAGATAATAAATAATTATTCATTTTTTTTAAAGCAAAACGTCATTAATTTTATTAATGATATTTTATTAAAAATGCTCAAATAATATGTATTTTACGGTATTTTATAATAACATTACCATAAAATCATAATTTAATGTAATAATTTTTACTCCTAAAATATAAATCATATAAATATACTATATATTAATAGTATATTTTGTTTTATTTTTATCAATTATGTAATTTTTAATTTTTTAGAAATAAATTTTACATTACATAAAATACATTGGTGCATTTGCAATTACTAACACAAACACACACACACACACACACACACTTAAAATATAATATATGAAAATTATCTAATCTAATTATATTACATTCATATAATAATACAGAATATTATATATATATACATATAATATATATATATTCCGGGTATGAGTTTCCAAACTCCCTGTGCATTGTATATAATGATATTTGTTTTCCAATATATTATGCAATTTAAGTATAAAATTTAATTTAATTTATTCTCTCTTTTGAATTGTTATACCGTATCATAATATTACTGATATATCAAATAATAATAATATCATATACTGTATGTGATGTGCATTTAAATCACTATCTATTTATTATATGATATCTGTTTTGCTTTAAACCTAGACATGTGTTCTCTATTATTATTATTATTATTATTACCATACCGTTCCTCTATTTACTAATCATATACCGCAAATGTATGGCATGCTTTTTTTGGAAAATTTTTCTAAATACTAAATATGAAAAATTATTTTGATTTTTTCTTATACTAGATATACCGTAATGTCTAAACAACAAACCATACCAATAGACTACTACTACTACTACTTGATAAGCGTAACCTAACTGTATTACACATCAAAAGTCATTAGTCATTGGGATTTATGAGAAGTACTCGTATTATTTTTATATATGTGTCAAACCAAATGAAAGATTGACTATTGAATGAGTGGGTGAGTGAGTGAGTAAGTAACAGATAGAAAGTGAGTATAGATAAAGATGAATATATATATATATATATATGAAATATTTGCCATAATTTGAATAACAGGAATATTATTATTATTATTAGATATGCCATATGCTATATCAGACAGAATATTATTTATTAATACTGTATTATATATAATATATATTATTATAATAAATTATTATTATTATTATTATTATTGATAGCATTTGATATGCTAAATAATAGGAATTATTATATTATTACAATAATAATAATAATAATATTGTAATAATAAAAACGTTTATACAATTAATATTATTTATACCACACTATACTATACATAATTAATTAAGTTTTATTAGTACTGTACACACACACACACACACACACAAAACATGACATACCCTAAAAAAAGTCATAGTACTGCCACCTTCCAGTGCTCCGTATTGTATTTTGGTTTGCGAGGCCAAGTCCTCGACCGATTCAATTGGTGTTATCATACGATCAACTGTTAGAAAAGCGGCCAAATTGGCCGTATAGGAGCTGATTAGGATTAGCGTAAAGAACCACCAAATGGCACCAATAATACGGGTGCTGACCGATCGGGGATTCAGATCGCATCCCTGTTTCATTAGTGTCACAACTGTAAACCAGAAACTGTCGGCCAAATTGAATTGATTTTCAATAATATCCGACTCCTATGTAGAAACAGACAAACAAAAAAACAAAATAAAGCAATAAAGGTTTTTACTAAAAAAAAATTGCAATTTATCAATCATATAAAAATAACAAATACTAAAAAATAAAAATTATGTCTCAAATTGACTCTCAATACCACTACTAATAATAAATCTAATATCATTTTTTTGGAGACTATCGAGAATATTCTTTATGATTATATTACTGTTTTTTTTCATTATAATTTATTTTTGATTTCCGGCAAAAACAAACTTATGTTAATATTTTTGGGTCAATGTGTGTGTGTGTGTTGTGATTCACAACTTGTGAATATCATATTTATCTTATTTGAATATATAAATTATGTTTATATTTATATAATATACAGTATATAACGTATATATCTAATATAATGACATTTGTATTATCATAATGACATGTATGTAAACATGCAATAAACATTGAATATTAAATAACATTTCTACTACATATATATACTGTATATATAATGTATAAAGAAAATTGTATATTAGAAATGTGTTTTTTTTAGCTAAATTAATGTTTATTTTATTAATCATTTTATGTTTATTAATATTTACTATTATTAAACAATATAATATATAAAAACTCATTTCCGTTTAGACTATAAAGTAACTAATTTTAATTAAAAACAAGTTTTTATGTCTTCTTAATACTGTATACTGTATTACTGTATTTCAACATAAATACATACATATATTTTTAAATAATAAATTAAAAACTATATTTTATATTTATATTTTTTCAATCTCTCTCTCTCTCTCTCTCTCTCTCTCTCTCTCTCTCTCTCTCTCTCTCTCTCTCTCTCTTTGTGTGTGTGTGTACTATAATATATGTTAGTGTGTGTATGCCATTGAAAATTTTGAACAAAACATTTAGTTAATACACACTTTTAATGACATCCGTCATATTTATTGCAAAAACCACACACACACACACACACACACACACACACACACACACACACACACACACACACACACACATTATATACCAGAAAAACATTAATTTTGTTGCTAACATTTAAGACTATTGTCTACTCATACGATATATATATTTTCTACTCTCTAATAATAATAATAATAATAAAGACAATAAAAAAACATGTCGATAATTAATGGGCACATGGATTACAAGTCAACTATTATTATTAATATGTGTGTTGTCATCAAAAAAAACTAAATAAATAATAATAATATATATTAATGTCAAATACCTTATCACATGGATGCGGATTATTCCATTCAAATGGCGAAAACCGGGCGACAATAAATAGGGTTGAGCTGACCAGTATGTAAGCTACCACTACATACAGCCATATGTCGACGGCCAACGGATTCATGAACGAAAACAAACGGGTAGGCATTTGGGTGGGTATCTTAAATAGTATACCGATTCCCAGATTCATGAATGGTTTGGTAAAGTCGATAACCTCTTCGCGGGCATAGGATATGGTCAATGGTCCCACTGCTAGATCTGCTTTCTATATATATATATATGTATATAATAGGTTAAACAATAGGTTATAACACCCACTCACACCCTAACACTACCACCAAAAAAAAATTATGACTTTCGTACCTTAAGCATGAGTTCCTGAACCAAACCGTTCCATTGGCCGGTAGTTGTATTGAAGGCACCGAACCGCCGGTCGGGTACTAAATAAAGCTCATAACTGAAACCTAGTTCTTTGGCAATAACATTGAGCAGATCTATACAGAAACCTTCGTATTTTATACTATCCGATCCATTGACCCGTTTGATAGATACGTATGGTCTGGTCTAATGGTGTAGACAACAAACAACAAAATAATAATAATAATATCAATATCCAAACCGTTATGATTTTTTTTATAATAATAGTTTAAATATAAATAATGAAACTAAATTTATGTTTGTTTTTCTTATTGTAAATAATATTTTTATTTTTTATTTTTTAAATGTATAGCTATTTGTTTTAATAATAATAATAATAAAATAACGAAACAAGTATTAAAACATTAAAATTAATGGTCAATAAAAATAAATACAGTTATATACTGTATATTACAATTGGAAAAAAACATTTTATTTTAATACACAAAAAACAAACATAAAGTAATTTTTTTGTATGAATTTAAAAAAATATAAAACTTGTTTTTTTTAATAACTACTTTAGTTATTCAAAAAACACTATTTTGAAAATGACTATTGCTATCAATTTTCATATAAAAAGTGTTTATAAAAAAATATATTATGATCTCTAATGTTTGTCATAAATTTATATATAAAAAACAAACTTATTTATTGAATACTAAATAATGATATGCAATATTTACATTATATACACTGTATATCAAATATATAGTAGTTTCTGGTCATATTGACTGTACAATTATGTATAAATAGTTTTATAAAATAAAATTTATTTTTGTATTATAATATAGATATAATTTTGCTACAGTCTATATACAGTATATATTATTATGAACACTATTGTTGAGATAATTAAATAACTTGCAAAATATACGTATATATAACACAAAACGTATATATGTATACAATGTATTAATTATTTGTAAAATAAGATACAAACAAAATTGTTTAAAAATTATAATTGAAATTAAAGCTCTTTGTGTTTTTCTCGATAAAAAATATAATTTAAACAATAAGTTAATATACATTTTATAAATTAATTAATTAAAATCTTACAGTTTTATATTTATTTTTCAATATATTGCATTATCTTACGTAAAAAATAAAATTGTTGTTATTAATTTAGAAAATAAATTAATACAATATATATATAAAACTGTAATACTTTTATTATTAAATACATAAAATTGTAAATAAGTTTTTTTCAAAAATAAAAATATATATAATCGCTAAATTAATTTAATATATAACAGTTTTATAATTTATTATTTATTTATAATTATAGATTTAAATGTTATTTTTTTAAAAATATTTTTTATTTAAACATATAATACAATTGTGTTTAATAATTTAAAATTTTCAAATTTATAAAATATGGGTATTTAGAAAATATTATTTAAAATTTTCTGATTTAAAAAAAAATTAAAACATACCTCAATTGTAGTCACTTTGAGTGTAATATTATTGTATCCATATTCACGAAAAGCGTGTAATTTTGTTATATTAAGACCCGAATCGATAGTAAACTCTCCGACCTATGAATTAAATTATTAATTTTATAATATATATATATATTTATTTTTAATTTATAAAATAAAGTAATTAATCTTAAATATATTTAAAGCAAATTACTTATACTCACACACACACACACATACACACACATACAGTATATATATACACTAAATAATATTTATAAAATGCAACAAAAAATATAATCCAACAAAACCCTAAAAAAACTTTTTTTTTTAAACTTTCGCAGAATTAAAGTAATTTTCAAATCTATTTTTTTAAATAAATTTTTTCAACATTTTTTTATACACAAATAAAATACTATCAAAATATTTTTCCATGAGATCAATACCTCTAGATATATGATATATATATATACTGTAGTATATAAGCAAAGCGCTTACTTTGATGTAATCATAGGATCGGTATGTATTGAGTACACCGACACACATACACACACACACCTACACATCACTACTTACTTTGTCGAGCACTTGATGTCTAAGCTTTAATAAATCCATTTTAACGGCCGAACGAACCCCTTCTCTAAACGATATTTTTCCGGTTAATCCCTGAAATTCAACCTAAAAAATAAAATTTTTAATACAATATTATATACTTTACTTTATTCATTGATAGATAATATTATAGAGTTCATAGATTTATATATACATCTATATAAATATATATATATTATAAAAATTTATTGAAAATTACTGGTATTTTTTTGGGGTAAAATATAAGTTTTATTTTGTGTGTTTTTGTTGCTATAAGTGACTAATATTATCATATTTATGTGTATAATGCATATGCAGATTGATATTTGCAAGTTTGCATAAAAATTTATTTATTTTAAATATCTATTTTTAAAAAATTCAATTTTATTTGCTTACTAGTTATAGTATTTTCAATATTTTTTTTGTTTATTATTTTACTTACATAATATTTATATATTTTTTTATGTTCATAAATGTCATAGTGTATTAAAATCAAAATATTATTTAAAATGTTCAAAAATAATATGTATTAACATTTATTTTGAATAATATTTTTTTTAAATATGTGTAGTTTTTAATAAAAAAAATATTTTTTCAAACATATTCAATTAAAAATGCAATTAATTATAAATTATTATTATTATTATTATAACAAAAAAAAGTAATTTTGTTTTATTAGAGTAATAATTAAAGAAACATGTTTTTAGTTATAATGAATATAAAATTAATTTTGTAAAAATAGTTTTTTATATATTATTTTATTTTATTTTAATGCTATAAAATATAGTAATAGAAACAGCATTAAAATACATTATATAAATGATTTCAATTTCTATGAATATTATAGTTATTTGTGTATTGCATTCATGCAACACATATAGTGTAATAGTATTACTGTTTTGCAAACCATATGACAAATTGTCAAATACAGTAAAATTTATTACATGTCTAGTAATTGAAATATATATATATATACTGTATATATATATATAAAATAAATTTAATTTAATATATAAAATATTTCTTTGAAAATTACTATTACTATAGCTTTAAGCTATTTCTATTCAGAGATAGAGAGATAAAGAGAGAGAGAGAGAGAGAGAGAGAGAGAGAGAGAGTATTTACTCACTTAAATATAATACAAATATATATATATATATGAAAACTCTTTTTTTTTTGAAATTTAACATTCAGTATTCAAATCAATACTACTATTACTTAAGATATAAATGCATTATAAATACAATCATAAATTTATGTATATACTATATATATATATATATATATAACTTATATATATAGTACTGTACTCTATATAGTATATACAGTATATGTATTTACTTATAGATATTTTCTGTTAGAATAGAAATAAAAATAAGAAATATTTTACAAAAAAAAAAAAATATTTTTATGTCTGTTATTTTGTTGTCATTTTTCTGTGTTCAGTGTGTTTTTGGGACAAATTTATATGTATTTTATTCAAATACATATACACTGTATAAAGTAAATGTGAAAAAAATCAATGAAATGCATTCATATATAACTTTATATATATATAGCATATAATGTATAGTATTTTCTTATGTTATTAACATTATTGACTATTATGTGATTTTCGATAGTTAACATAAAATACTATTTGTTTTTTTTATAAAACAAAATAAATACTGTATCAACATATTAATTGATTCAAATAAAATTAGTAATATTTTTTCATTATTTATATAATTGCTTAAATTTAAAATTTGATTATTTATATATTAATTAAAAAAGCAATTATTAATAATTATTAATAATATTAAAATAGATATTTTTTATAAAAAAAATCTAATTTTTCTTTTAATTTATTGGTTATAATATTTTTTTTATAATCATTTAATATGAAATAATATTGCTCTTAAAACGACAATCTCTTAGCGCTTAAAAAAACTAATCCCCGATATATTAATACTTATTACTGTATATTATTTGTATTAGTTGTGTGTGTGTGTGTGTGTGTGACTGTGTGTGTATGTAATGTATTATTTAATTCAAAAAGATTAGGAATAATGTCCGCAAAATACAAATAAAAAATAAACTCAATTTTTATAGAATATTCTTTGAAAAAAATTGTGCACACATTAGATGCAGTATATATATGTGACCTCAAAGTGTAATCAATTGTAAAATAGGTGTAAAAAAATACACAAAATCCTGTTATTTTTAAATCCAATAATATTTGTGTAAAAAAAATAAAATAATAAAATTTATTTTAGTTTTTTTTCTCTTAATCCTATTATAAGTACAATATATACAGTATATATCCATCAATTTTAAAGATAATAACTTAGTTAGAAAATAAAAATTTTCTATTAGTTATTATTTGTAGCATAAAAATATTAAATATTTTGTATTTTTAGTAAAATTTTTTCTGTGTGAAAAAAACATATTATATAAGCAATAAAATTTGTAATATAAAAATGCCATAAAATAATGATACCATCAAATTTAAAACAATATAATATTAATAACAATTTCAACGACAGCCATAAATGTGTTGATAAAACAGTTTTACATAAAATTTATATATATTTTTTAATGTCTTATAATAAACTTTCTGTAAAAGAAAAATATCTGCTATTAAAAGTCAAATATAAGGATACAATTGATTTTTTTTGACAAAAAATAACGGATATTATTGTCAATTTTGTATAAAGTTATAAAACAGAGACAGCAATTTAGATAATAATAAATGTGAATAAAAATATATATATATTGATAATATTTTCACTAACTTATTAAGTTATCATACACTACATTATAACTTAATAAATAATAATTTATTGTTATTTATTAATAAATATTTTTAAAATAATATGTTTATTATTATTATTATTATATCAATAGTTTAAGATTAATATATAATTATTTTTAGATTATAAACTTTTTTTAAATTTTTTTTTATTATTATTTTATAACATCACTATAAAAATAATGATGACTATTAAGATTAGCATTTTAATAAACTGAAAATATTATACATCATACATATTATAATAATAAATTATTTTATTTTATTTTTTTTCGTATAAAATAATAATTGAAATAATAATAAAAATAATTATTAACAAGTCATTAAAAAATAATTAAATTCAACATAAAATACTAGATATTTTATTGAAAAAAATATATAATTATATTTTTTACTCACAGTTAGTGAGTTAGTGAGTGAGTTTGTGGAGAGATAAAGAGATAAACCGTATATATATATATATATATTTAGAGAGAGAGAGAGAGATTGCATAATATGTTTTTCACTACAAATATGTGTCTCTCTATCTCTAACAGTTAAAAACATTAATTTTAATTGATATTTGTCTATAAATATATAAAAATATATATATATATATATATAATTAATAGACACATATAGACAGTCAGTGCTCTATGGAATTAAACAGTAGTAAACACTGGGATGTAGTGTATGTGCTCTCTCTCTCTCTCTCTCTCTCTCTCTCTCTCTCTCTCTCTTCTTACATTTACTCTCACTTTTTATTCAACACTATTATACAGAGATAACACATCGGGAATTGCCAGCACAAGTACATAATGTATGTAAACATAAATATATATACAGTATATTACTACATATAAAAAACTACAAATAATCAATGAGAGACAATATTCTCTACAGAATATTCTGTGCAAAATAAATAAATGGATTGTAATGTATGCATATATATACAGTATGTATGACTATAGTATATACAATATATATATATATATATATATATTCTACTATTCATTAGGGGGAATGGTATAAAACTTATATGAGAAGCGCATCACTCATATATAAATTTACACACAAACATCAGTAGTCAAAATGATGATAATAAAAAAATATAGTTTACGGTATTATATATTACGGTAAAAAAGGGGAAAACATTTATATGATAAATAAATAGATAGATAACTATAAATATATATATATATATATATTATAAAAATAATAACAATATGATAGAAAGTTTTTAAAAACAATATTGTTTTTTATAAATGACTTACAGAGTCGACATAATTAAATAGTGACGAACCGTCAGTCCAGGAGATCTCCGAATCGCACGAAGCGTTGTTTGGATAACGAAGCAAATGTGGAGACATTTGTTGCAATGAGTGCAGACCCCGACACAGGGCGTACACTGCATCGTACATGAGTGCCGGTCCGGCCTATATATATATATATGGATGATCCATGTGATGATGATCCATGTGATGATGATCCATGTGATGATGATCCATGTGATGATGATCCATGTGATGATGATCAGGTAGATGATGATCAGGTAGACGATGAACAGGTAGCATAAATGGGAAAGTAATATATATGAATGTTATATTTGTTGGACATACCATATATATATAAGTTATTTGCTAATAACAAAAAATATATATAATAAGGATAACTGAATTTATTTTTTTTTTAATTAAACAACAAAATCAATAGGCACTGGTAGATATCGAGATGAATAGCCCATAAAATAAAATAATAGATAAGCGATTCGAGTGGTGGGTTAGCAGTGGGTTAGTAAGAGAGAGAGAGAGAGAGAGAGAGAGAGAGAGAGAGAGAGAGAGAGAGTTTTATTAGTACAATGAAAAATAAGTCATTTATTGAACCCAAATATCTTTCAACATTCAATTCATTAGGTTTCACTATACATTTATATATACTATATATATATATATATATATATATATATATGTGATATCAATTTGAAGCAAATTCAGTATAAATATATTGTGCAAAATCGCCTAACAATAGATAACTACACGAATTTTTTCTCAATGTGTGCTTCAATGGCAATCGATAATTCATTTGCAATGGCAAAAGGCTTCTCTACACTCAATTTTGATCTACTGTTCCCACTATCTCTCTCTCTCTCTCTCTCTCTCTCCTCTATCTATCAGTTAAATTAAATGCCTTTGAAGTGACACAGACTGTGTGTGTGTGTGTCTATGTCTATCAATAACATAATACTGATACTGTAATTATTTTTTAAATCTATTGAATGAGATAATGGATATCTACGGTATTAGACACCCACCATCCACCCCCTCTAAACAGCACAGTACTGTATATAAGTTTTACACATGTTTTTTTAATACTTATTCTCTAACTTTGTTATAAAACATTTTTCTCAAACCAAACCCGATATCCCATTACCTGAATAACATTGCTTTTGTTGATAATATTATTGCCAATGGGTTGGAATCGTTCGATGTCTCCCAACGTTTGTCTAACCATTGGATTATCGCTATCGACTAACCGGAAGGCAGTTATGTTAACATAATTATACTTAAAGTCCTCCAAATCAAATGTTTCCAAATCCTATTATTTATTTATTTTTAAAAAAAATGTAAAATATAAAAACAATTATAACAAAATATTACTAATAATAATAATAATAATAAAATAGTTATTACCACTACTAATAATACTAATATTAAATATAATAAGTATTAAATAGTAATAATTAAATTAAATATAAATAGTAATAAAAAATACTAATAATAAAATAAAACAGTAATAATTTAATTAAAACCTTTTTCAATTTCAACAACAACAAAAAATTATTTGAAAAAATTACAAAATTAAACAATTGCTACTAAAAAAAATTTTTTTAGCAAATTTTATTTTTTTTTAAATTTTTGTTATACAGAATATAAATTATCTTATCTATAAAAAACATATATATATATAAACTTATTTTTTATTGACTCATAAATTATTGTTGGAAAATATATTTTTCTTATTGTTTTAAAACTTATTTTTTATAAAATATTTTTTTTAAAACATTACAGCATAAAATGCAAAATCAATATATATATATAAAAAATTTATTTTGTGTTAAGTGTCACAACAAAATTATTATATAATATATATATATATATAATAATAATCAATATTATGATATATATATATAAATACAATGTATAACTAACTATCTATACAAACTTCAATCAGCACACAAATGATAAATATCATGAAAATTAATTTTTATGTTTATTGTTATTTATGGTGTGCTTATAATTTTATTTTTATCTACAAAACAGTACTACAATACTATACTATCAATATATACAGTATAGTAGTTATCAAATGGTTAGTCTTTTTTTCCATAAGTATAGATCAATAAATTGTTTGATATTTTGATCATAAATTTAAAGCATAATTATTTAGAGGGGCATTACTACTCTACTTATCAATCTATTGCCACTTGAAAACATAAATTTAATGGATATAATATTTATAATAATAATAATAATAATAATAATAATAATATAGTAGTAGTAGTAGTAGTAGTAGTAGTAGTAATAGTGTAGTAATAGTAGCAGTTGTTTATGTAATATTAAACAAATTAAAATCCAGTATTTATGTATAAATATTTTATAAATATTATATTAAACTCTTTTAAAATAATAAACATATTTTTTAAAGTTATTTAACTGATTTGGGTTTATCTAAATTAACTGTTATTATTATCATTATTATCATTGTATAATTAAAAAAAATTTAATTAAAATTAAATTAACTTTATTGTTATTATACTTACAAATGTTGTAAAATGATAATGATATTTATATTCATTCATTTGCACTTGGAGAATCTGTATTAAAAAAATATTAGATTATTATTTATTTAATTTTAGAAAAAAATTAATTAAAAAATAATAATAATAAATAAAAGTAATTTAGTAAAATAAAATAAAATAATTTAATACTTAAATTTTATTTGATATAATTAAACAAAATAAAAAATAAAAAAAGTGTATATATAATTAAATTCATGCACTTAAGTAACGATACTAATGTATGCATATTATTATTATTATTATTATTAAGCTCTATCTTATTTAATAATGCAATTTAAACATTTAAATAAATTACTAGACATTTAATGAGTTAACTAAAAAATAAAATAATAAATAGATAAAAATTTTTGTACATTAAGTTAGACACACACACACACTTACATATAAAAATTAAAACATAATTGATAGTAAAGCTCACTATAAGTTCACATAATTTATAATATAATAAGAAAATAATACAACTAAATATAATTGCAATTAGTTTTTTTTGCCCTAAAATCACTTAATTAATTATTTATATTATTTGATTGTATATTATAGACTAGTGTTTTTTTACATAAGTAGTATCTTTTTTTTTATCACACTATGATAAGTACACATTTGCATTTAGATTAGGTTTTTTTATCAATAAAATAAAATAATAGTAATTTATTAAATGATATAATAAATTGAATCCAATACATGTCTATACTGTATTAAATATTAATTACTTAAGTAATCAACTAAATAATATTAATAGTATTTTTTAGTATTTTTAAAAAACAATAATTTTAATTAATTATTATTATTTTATTAGTATATTTCAATATTAAAACTGTACAGAAAATAAATTAAAATTTTGTTTTAGCAAATTGTAAATTGTAAATTTTATATAGTTTTGATACTGATTATTATTTTGAAATACATTTCTATTACTTATTTTTATAATTTTTCAAAAATAATACTCTAGCAATATATTTATGATATAATTAATTAATTAATTATTTTAATAAACATATTATAAATAAAATTATATTGTGCTAAAAATAATAATAATAATAATACTGTTTTACATACAGCCGTCAATAGGAGCGGTAGATTTTCGGGTTTAATTTCGACAATAATTGAATAGATGTTCCGTGTTTTGAGATCCCTGAGCGTCTCACGAAAATGATCAGGGCTACTTTTTCTATAAATAAATTGGACATTTTTCTTCAATGGCAATCGTACCAACTCTTGTAGACTTATTAAAGCTGTAATTTAATTTCATCAAAAAATTATTAGTATAAATATATATATATATTTAAATATAATATATGATTATTTAAAGTTATGATTGTATTCATATAATTCTTTTATATATTTTTTTTGGATATAAATTATTATAATAATAATAATAAGTTAATAGTTTATAATAATTAATGTATTTTTGATATATATATATATATAATTCATATGTAAAAATATTTTTAATGTAATGTTAACACCCTACAGGCTTAACTATCAATTTATTCATCTATTTGTATATACAATATATATATATATATATATATATATATATATATATATATATATATATTATATATATGCTTATTTTGTGACAGATTTTTAAAAACACACAGTTATCTCTATAACATAACTGTGCCATTAAAACATATATTCAATGAGAGAAAGTATATGAACAACACACTAAAACATATTGTATATCATATAATTAGTAGTAAGTGTTTTCAATGCTATAGTACTGTACAGTATTTTTTCGTTGTTGTTGTTGTAGTTGAAAGACATGTGAAACAATTTTAGTATTGATTTATACATTGCATTGCATTAGTCTATCTGTGTGTGTGTGTGTGTGTGTGTGTGTGTGTGTGTGTGTGTGTGTGTGTGTCTGGAAAGTTAGGTCACAAACTTAATAATAAAACAATTGCTGAGACTTTCAATGTGTGTGTGTGTGTGACCCTACCAGTGCTTTACGTATGGATAGTAAGTTTTTGCTAAATATATTAACAAAAGTTTTCAGTGTTGTTGTTGTTGTTATATTTGTAATGCCAGTGTACTTATAATTTAGTAATACTTTTATTTTGTTGAAACTTTTTACTGTATGAGTGTTTGTTTGTAACTTACAAATAGTAAGTAAATGATAACACGTTTTTTTGTGTTAAGTTTATTTTTATTAAGAAATAGATGAATGAGCTATAAATATATTAGATTATAACTAACTGATTGCTGATGAAAATGAATAGTATATACAGTATATATTGAATAAATAATTTATGTATTTCTAAATATTATATACAGTATATGATATGTTAACTGTTCATTATATGATGTATAGTGTTTGTGTGTGTGTGTCAGTGAGTGTACTTTATAATTGTGTTTTACTTGCCTTACAAACCAACTGTAAAAATAATGCAATCAACACACACACATAGATACATACATATATATATATATATATATAAACACACACACACATACATATATATATATACACACACACACATACATATATATATATATACACACAAACACACATATATATATACATACACCCACACACATACATATATATATATATATATATACATACATATATACATACACACACACTTATCACTTACCCACTCACTCACTCAATAAGCAATAATTGAGAAAATGTAATTTTTATATAATATTAATAATAATATACTATATTTATAGTGAAAATATTCTGTGACTGTCAGCAAAATACAGTGATTTACTACTACTACTACTGTATTACTAGTGTAACAAAATTTTGTCCGTTAACTGTCGGATATGAAAATATTGTATACTATTCACTAATTTTTTGGGTTAAATACTCTTATATTATTAAATGCTTGGAAATTATAATTATAATTAATGAGTAAATCTGTGACATTAATTATTATTATTATTATATATAAAGTATATACAGTACGAGTTTATTGTTATAGTAAATACTAGTATTTTTATATAATGTAACTTATATATAAAATTTGTGTATTTTTTTAAAAAGAGACAGTAAATGCATTTATTTTTTAGTTAATACTAAATCTAATCTAAACAAACATAAAAATTTTGTATCTTATATAAAGTAAATTATTTATATATTATAAAATACAAATAAATTATTTATAGTTTAAGAAAGATTTACAAAACATATAATTTTAAATATAATGTTTTATAAAGTTTACTATATATTACAGTATATGATACATACATATGTCATCCTCATAGATGACGGCCACTTGTGTCCAATTGAGAAATTTTACTAAATCTCTCAACGACTGGGATATGCTATAAGCACCGGGATGTAAGTTAATTGAAAATTCTTTGACATTATTGATGGCCAGATTATGATGTCGGGCCTCAATGTGCGGTATGTCCAGTGCGTCGCACAGTGACTGTACGTGTGCACCGAGTTTGTCGTCCTGAGGACCAAATATGGCGATCACACCGGAGCTAACCTGATAGCAGGCTATATATAATACAGGAGTGTAAGAGATAAACATATATATATAATTGAATTTTGTTTTATTGTTGTTTAAAAGGGATAAGTGGGTGAATAAGAGATATAGAAAATACAATGTTAGACAATAAGTGAGAATATTATTCTTGTAATGGCTTAATATATATATATATATAAGTTATTGTTATTATTATTATTGTCATTATTATTATTATTATGTCGATTGTTAACAACAAATTGGACAATAAAAATAAGACAGAATATATATAAAGGTTTTTATTCATTGTTAGAGAGAGAGAGAGAGAGATCACTTAATTTATACTGTTTTTTGTGTCTTATTATTCTATCTTTTATAATATAACTTTTTATAACATTATTTTGTTAACATTAAATAACTCTCTCTCTCTCTCTCTCTCTCTTTCTTTCTTTCTCTTTCTCTCTTCTAGATATTTGAAACAAAAAAACATATCAATTGTTGGAAACCGAAAAATACATACAAAAAAACTTATAAAATAGCTTTTTGACTAAAATACTAGGAATTTAGACATAAAAATACATTATAGTTTGAGATTTTTTTTTGGATAACTTTTACAGTTATCATAAATTTACAGATGGTATTCAAGTTTTTTTTATGACAATAAATCAGTAATATTTATATATAAAGATTGGGATTTAAAAATCATGTTTTTTGTGTGTATTTATTTGGCATTTATTACATTGCAAATTATCTAAAACACAATATAATTAAATTATACTAATTTATGATTACTATACAATGTGTTTAATTACGTTTTATTATTAATACATTTTGATAAAAATAAGTTTTAATTAGAAAATTTTTATAACAAATAAATTTAAAACAAATAATAAATATATTTAGTAGATTAAAATAGCTATCTATTAATAATATGTTTACTGTAGTTTAGTTTAACAAATATTATAATTATTATTAGAAAAATTAATTAAATACTACATAACTGTTCAAAAATTATCTAAACAAACTTAATTATTTAACATTAAAGTAAAAACAATTACTATAAATTATGAATGAAATAAATTTTAAAAACAATATAAAATAAATTAATGATAATAATAAAAAATATTTTACATACCTTTTTTGGTTGCATGAAAACTATCATCTTTAGGTACATACTGTTGAATAAAATTTTTATAAAAAATTAAAATAAGATATATATTAATATTTTACTTATTTTGTTACATTATAATTAAATTATTTACTATTATAATTAAATTATCAACATTATAATAAATTTATTATATGAATAAAAAAATTATTTAAATCTATATTACTGTATATATATTAATACATAATAAATCCTTTATCTCTTTTTTTTGAATCTCTTTGAATACAACAACAATAACAACAAAACTAAATTATTAATAGCTTTACACATAAATAATAAATATTATATACATTAATACAATATTACATAACTATAGTTTTTTTTTGGTGATTTGGTGCTGATGTTAGCAATATATTTAATTGTCATAAAACTGTATATAACAATATATTTATTATAACATTGTTTTGTGTGTTTCAGTAAACAATTATGTGTATTATACAGCAGTATTATTATTATTATTATTATTATTAGTGTGAATATATAGGATATATTATATTTAAACAGAGAAGCAAAACAATAAAAGAAATAATACCCGAAAAAAATATGTGACATAAAAATACAACAAATCCTAAGATTTATAATAACTCGAGATATATAAAAAATGTTTAGTATATACTATATATTATATATTTATATAGTATATGCTATTTTGTCTGAATGGTTATAATAATAATAATAATAATAATACCAACAATAATAATAAATACTGTATATATTTATAAATACCATTTAATTTTTGTAATAATGTGTAGTTTCTAAAAACCTATTGAATTGAACTGTTGTGTTATCTGAAGCCATAGTTTATACAGTATATAGTTATATATATACTGTATATATATATATACTTAATATGAGACACGAGTTTTACACAACTTTCATACAAAAAAAAATATAGAGTATATAAAAAAATTGAGTGAGAAAAACATATTTACGTAAACTATAAATAGAAAAAAATAAATAAATAAAATAACATATAAATCTATATTTAACATTATGCTTATGTTGTGATTTACTGTATAAATATATAGATAGATATTATTTTTATATATGTTTATTCAAATACAATTCATGTCATATCTATTGAGAATTAATAATATTAAAGTAAATATGATACTAAAATTGATAATAATATATTCAAATATAAAAAATATATTTGAATATAAAAACAAAATAAAATACTGTATATTCTATTAAATTTTTCATATTTTATTCGTAACTTTTAAACAATTGTTATTTATATTGTTATGTTTGTCTATCAAAATATGGTCAGAATATTAATATATAATTGTAATAATCATACTGTAATAATAAAACATCATTTGCCAATAATATACAGTACAATCTCATTGTAGTAGTTATTTATAATATTTGTGTTGTGTGTGTGTGTGTTTAAGTACTGTATATGAGAAAACAATATAAAAATTGAGTATATATGATATATATATAAAATAAGTTCAACAATTTACTATACATATAGTACATTGAAATTTAGCTGCCAGTGCTTTTATAACTACCAGTGCCTCCCATTCCCTACATATCATTAAAGTACATCCAATTCCTTTCTATAAGTATATATATATCGTATATTTATAAATTAAATTTTCAAAACAACAATGTTTTCTGTCTTTCTTTTTTATGTCCTATTATTTGCTTAAATTTAAAGAATATTCTGGTATTTTGCAAATTCAATAGCCATATAAATAGTTTAGACAATAGACAGTAAACATATTAAATTTAATGACAAACAATTAATCATTCATGTGCTAAGTGTTTGCATAATTAGAAATTAAATTAAAGTATATATATTTTTTTGATTTAAATAATAATGATGATAATAATAATAATATGATTTTTTATTTTTATAATAATATAGTAATAAAATAAATGTATAAATTTTACAATTTATGTGAGGTTTAAATAATTCTATTAAAATCAAAATTATTTTTAATGTTTTATTTTATCGATAATAAACTGCAGACATACATGTAATGTATGTTTTGTATGGTTTTTATTACAATAATAAATAATAATTTATTACTATTTATATTAGTATTTTGCTTTTAATTTAGTAAATTCAATTATCTTAAAATATTTGAATTGTTTTCAACTATTTTTTTTAAAAAATAAATAAATAATAAAAATATAAATTATAATAAATAATAAACTTAAAAAAAATTAATGTTTATTATTAAAATTGATTTAACACAGTATAGAGGTGTATGTGTATACATGTAAATTGAATCTGAAAATAACATTTATAAATTTTTTAATTAAATAACTAAATTAATATAATAAAAACTAATAATTATATAGTAAATGTTGATAATGTTTATTAAAATTTTATAAAAATTTATTATTATTATTATTACTACTACTACTACTACTACTACTACTACTACTACTACTACTACTACTACTACTACTACTACTACTACTACTACTATTACTGCTACTACTAATAATAATAATAATAATAAGACAATAAAATACTAATACTAGTCTATAACTATTTAGTCACTTAATTGCCTTAAAGATATATATATATATAAATATAATAAAATGTTTTAGTTATAATATATTCAATTACAAAAACAAATGCATATAATTTGTATAATTTTTAGATAAAAATTTGACTGAATTTAATTAGTTAGTCGATTGTATGATTAAAAATAATTAATTGGGACTGAAAACAGTTTAATTAACAAAATTTAAAGTTGTCTACTAAAACAAAATACTTTGATAACAAGTGCTATAATTATATATATATATATATATAGTATATAATAAAAACTTAACATGATAAATTTTATTTTTTAACAAAATATTAAAACAGCATATAATTATTTTTAATATAAACAATTATACTAAATAATTTTCTAAAAAAGTTTAAAACTATAATATTTAAATACATTTTTCCAACACATCATTTATAAATAAAAAAAAATATTGCTATAAATATTAAAAATTGTTTATTAAATATACAGTATTTTTTGTATATTAAAATTATTATTTTATTATTATTATTATATTTAGACAACAAAAATCATCAGTCAATTTAATTTGTTTTTATAAAGTATATTATAATGTATTAGTAATAGAAATTGCATTTTATTACAAATATATATATATGTAATTTTTAGATATTTATAAAACCAACAACAAAATAATCAATTTATCAGTTTGTTAAAAAATTTAAAAACATATGGTTGGTATACATAATAAATTACATAATTTGCATAATATGCACATAAAATTATATATATATATATATATATATATATATATATACTGTATATATATAGTTATATTTCACACACACACAAATAGAAATTTCATTTTATATAAAATTTTTAGTGAAAATTTATTTTATGTTAATAGACAAAAAAAACATTGACTTTATTATTATTTTATAAAAATTTGTTCACTAAATTTAATGTTAGAAAATATAATATAAAATTAAATGTATGTGCCATTACACACACACACACACACACACACACACACACACACACACACACACACATACATATATAAACTATATTATACAATTAAATTAGTCATGCTAGATTAAATTATACATGTTTAAAATTTGATTAAAAAAAAAGTTTTACTCAATATATTGACAACGATAGCGTGTAATGTTATAAACAGTACAATAATATAATATTATACTACTGTATACTACAGTAACTTAATAGTATAATGTATTGTATAACAAAATTTACTAAATCAACAATATTGTTATAATAAATACTAAAATAAAGTAATTCATACAGTTATTACAATGTATACTATATACAGTACAACACATTGTACAGTATTTAAAATAATTGCCATATAATTAAACTTATTTTATTATATACTGTACCGACAAAAAAAAATTGCCAAGTCAATTAAATTTATTTTAAAAATAATACATGTATTTTTTATAAATTATATACAATATGTATTTACACTACGTTAGTTTATAATTTTGTATAAATTTTTTATTAAAACATCAATTAAGTATATTAAAAAATTTATTTAAAAAATGCATATTTATCATGTATTAAAATATTTTTTTTTTGATTTGTTGTTGTTATTGTTGACATTTGGAGATCATATGAAATCAAAAAGTTAAAAAAAATTGCAAACACACACACACACACACACCCACGCATACATACATACATCACACACAAAATATATGCACAATGAAAATCAATATATATATATATATTGAATAAATTTTATATTATTGTAGTAAAGACACATATAGTGAATATTTTTGGTCTAACATTCATAAGTCATTTTCAAACATTACTATAAATATATACAGTATATACTATATATATATATATATATATATATATATTGTATTTATATATATATATTTCAGATGAAAAAAATTGATTTTTCAATTTTTCATCTCTATTTTCATATGTATTTTTCCGAAATAATAAGCATTTATATGTTCTGAGATTTATATATATATATATTTCGTAGAAATTTATATATATATATATATATCTGAAATTTTAGGGAAACAAAAATGTTTTTATTTATATTATTCTTTGGAAAAAAATCAAAACAAAATAGAAATGTTGAAAAAAAATTTTTTTTTTTGAAAACATTTTAAAATAAAATATTATATTTTTCACAATAACAACACCATTGTTATTATTATTATCATTATAACAATCGCTATTAGTGTTATTAATGATATGTTTTTTTTGTTGGTTGACAAATAAAATTGTAATTAATTTATAATTTTTCATTATTTTTACAGTATATACAGTATATGCTTGTGTGATATTACACACACAAACATGTATTTATCATATCCTAATCTTAAACAGATTTATCAAATATACACCATGTTATCCATCTATTTATTATTATTATTAATAACATTAATAATAAAAATATATATATATCACATAAAAGTAATCTATGATAAAAATAAAATCTTATAAAACTCTATAATATATCATATATAGTAGTTTATATATATACTACTATACTATGTTTTGGGAATCGGTAGTCATTATCCAGTACTGACCTGAATATCATAAATTAATGTCGTATTTGGCAGCAATGCCTTATCCCTATTGATCCTATAGACGGCATATTTGAAGGCCAACTCGGTTTGGCTATCCTTTTGATCCTCCGTAAAGATAGCACCTGTATATTGAAAACATAAAAGTGTATATTAGAGATAAAATCATTTTTCAATTCACATAGCGTACAATAATAATAATAATAATAATAATATACTGAAGCAATATAAATGTCTATAACTTATAACTATATCGGCAAATATGTTTGTCTTAAAGAATATTCTTTAATGCAATAGAGAATTGTTATATAATACTAATAAAAAATAAATAAATAAATAAATTGTATTATTTATTATATTTTTGATATGATATTCAGTACAATTGCAATGCCAATTGGTAATAGTCTCATAATATATTACAATAATATACCGGTATATAAAACAAAACATAACTCTCTCTCTCTCTCTCTCTTTCTTTCTCTCTCTCTCTCTCTCTCTCTCTCTCTCTCTCTCTTAGTTTATATCTCATACTAATAGTCTTTAGGTAAGACAAATATTGAAGCAATTAATGGTAACGTATAGCTTCTCCATATCACACATTAATAGTGGTAGTAGTAGTCGTAGTAGTAGTAGTAGTAGTAGTAGTAGTAGTAGTAGTAGTAGTAGTAGTAGTAGTAGTAGTAGTAGTAGTAGTAGTAGTAATAGTAGTAGTAGTAGTAGTAGTATTAAGACAGACATTCCTTTTTCTGTAAATACCAATACTATATACGTATTTATAGTGAACTAACTATACAATTTATATCCACATACCAGTGCTCATACCGGCAGTCAATAAGTTCTCTCTCTCTTTCTCTCTCTCTCTCTCTCTCTCTCTCTCTCTCTCTCTCTCTCTCTCTCATTCTGTCTCGATGTTGTGTTTCTCAATGTCTATCATTAAAATGATTGTTATTGGAAAGTAATGACCAGTAATGCTATGGCAATGAAGCCCAAGATTAAAGGTATAGTAGACTTTTACAGAGCACTGGTAGATACTGTATACTGCTTAGTGTGGGTTAATATATCTCATTGACAGTCCTAACCTATTAGAACCCATATCATTTACTAACACACACTCACTCACACACATAAACAGTCACTCACCCACTCATTCACTAATAGATTAATATCTTTTACTAAATATTTTCTCTCTCTCAGTAGTGAAATGTCTTAATATATTTTCATTACAGCTATGCGTTCAATGATTACTATTGAATAATATACTCGTTTGTGAAATAATGATTGTCTAATATATTGTATACAATATATATATATATATATATTTAGTACTATATATATAGATAGCATATATTTGGTGCATACAAGTATTGCTTCAATGATTTTAACTATTAATATATATTGTACTAAACTATTGTTAGTCTAGAGAGAGAGAGAGAGAGAGAGAGAGAGAGAGAGAGAGAGAGAGAGAGAGAGAGAGAGAGAGAGAGAGAGAGAGAGAGAGAGAGAGCGATTACAATTGTCAATAAATAATAAAAACAATGTTTTATAAATAAATAAAAATAATTAGCAAGTATTGTATTTACGTTTAATTTATTGATAATGTCTAGTTATAAATATTTTAATTGAATACATTTTAAATGCATGCTCTTTAAAAAATTTATTTGATTAGATTTAAAGTAGATTTTTATTAAAAAAATAAATAAATAAATAATTAAATACTATAATAGAAAATCTTAGAATCTATAATAATAAATTAATTATTAATAACATGATAGTAATAATACTAATAATATTTATTTGCAATAGTATTATTATTATAAATAAAAAAAATATAAAATAGTCTTACAATTAATTAATATATAATATAATAAACACATTATTTTTACATACATTTCAAACAACAATATGCAAATAACTATAACTATAATTTATATAACATAATGCTATACAACAATATTTAAAAATTTTGTATATAAATTTTATATAATAATAATAATAATAATATTTATTTGATTTATTATTGCTTTGAAAATTTTTCAAGTGTTATATTATATTAAATATATATATAACTTATATATCAATATAATATATATATACAGTATATAACAAATTATTGTAGTTTTGTATTTTAAAGTGACAAAAATAATTTATTAGAATTTTTATACAGAAAATAAAAACTTACAGTAAGTATTCATTTAATATAAATTGTGTCTATTTATTAAAAAAAAATTATATTTTAAAAATAAAAATGTTTTATCTTTGTTAAATATTTGCATTAAAAATAAAAACTAAAAGGATATTATTAAAAATATTTTTTTAAAAATTTATTATTATTTCTTTTAAAACAATTTAATTAAATTTTTTAATGTTTTCAAATGCGTTTGTTTGTGTGTTTTAGAAAATAGGTTTAAAATCAAAATTTAATTAAATTAATTTTATTGCATGAGTTTTTTTTTGTTGTTAAAAAATAACTTTGTTATATAAGATATAGACTTTTGTCTGTTATTTTTAAATATTAAATGTTTTGTTATTTTGTTAAATCAAAAGCTTATTATATATATATAATTATTATTCACTTACAAACACACAGACACTAAACATACACATATAATCCAGATTATAGTAGATTTGTTAAAAAAAAGTGTATATATATTGTACATGTATTTATGTCAAAAAATTTTTTTTGCTTATCTTTAATTATAAACAAGAAAAAATCTAAATTAATAAACTAAAAGTTTTTTGTGTTATAAATAATAAACAACAATAACTAAATAATAAAATGCCATTATACATATATATAGTATAATTTTTACGTAAATTTTAATATTTTAAAAAATGACTTATAAACAATTTTAACAAATTATACAAAAAATACAGATTAACCAAAAGGTAATTTATTTATTTTTTGACATTTAACTTTATTTTTAAAAAAATTATTTTGATTATTTCAATTTGTTATAAAAATCAAAATTATATATAATATATATATATATTTAGTAAAATAAATGTCTGTTCAAAATAATAAGATTTTTATTTACATTTTTAAATAAGTAAATGTCTGGAAACTGTTCTTTTAAAATATTAATTAAATTTTTTATTTAAATAATAAAAAATTGTTTAAAAAAATGAATTATTTAACAATATTAATATAAAAATTAATACAAATATTTTAGTTATTTACTATATATTTTTTTTTATTAATTTTTGATTTTTAGATAGATATCACTATTTTTATATTAAATTTCAACATATATAATATTAATAAATATATATATTGTTTAATAATTTATTAAAAACTATTATTAATATTATTTCTCAATTTCTAAGAACTCTTATATCAATTATAAGGTAAGAATTAAATAAATATTAATGAAAATAACTGAAAGATTTATTAAACTCTCTCTCTCTCTCTCTCTCTCTCTGTAAAACTTTTTTTTAAATAGTTTTATTAAATAAATGGACAATTACTTGAATGTTTCGCGAAATTATTTACTGTATAGATATTATACAATAATAACAAAAAAATCCGATTTTCTATTATTTAATTATATAGAGAATTTAGATCCTTATTATAATTATTTATTACTTATTTTTATTGTTTTGTAAAAAAATATAGTGGAAATAAAATTTTTACTATTAGGTTAACTTTACAAGTATTTGTGTAAAAATATTTGTTATATAAATCAATAAATATTAAAAAATAATCATATTATGTAATCAACTATTAAAATAACTTATTATTTTTTCTATACCAAAATAATTTATTTAAAATTTTATTAAATAGATAACTACTAAATAATTATATTAAGTTTAAATAAATAATCTATTTATCAGTTTGTTATTTATAATAATAATAGTAATAATAATATTTTGTTTATCTTTTCAATCATTATAAAAAATTTCTTAACTGTAAATAGCTTTATTGAAAGTTAGCAAATATAATAAAATTAATAATATAGGATTTTTTCATTAAATATTAATTTTTAATAAATAATATAATTTTATTATACAAGAAAATTTATTAACTATTTATATCCAATTTTTTGTGTTATCTATTTATAACTATTTTTTTCACACAATAAATAAAGCTATTTCGCTATATTTAACAAAATATTTACTGTATTATGAATGCTATTATTATTATTATTATATAACGATATAAAATCATTGTATGAAAAAAAAATGTTATTCACACACAATTTAGTTATAGTAAAAGTTTTCGCAACAACATTACATCAATAGATAAATGACATTAAATATCATTAAATATAACTTATTATTATTTTTTTTGTATTGTATTCTTTAAAAAATAATATAATGATAAACTTCACCGGTAGTAATACAACTATTTTAAAAGTAAAAAATAAATTCATTTTTAGTATATTATAATAACATTGTCACAAAAAATAAATTATATTTTTTTTAATTGATATGTTTGTATAATATATTTTATTTTCATTTTAAAAAATCTATTAAATTATATATATATATTAAATTAGTGTTGTCAGATAAGACTAAATGCATCAGTTTTTTTTAATAATAATTTAATCTTTAATACGGTTTTGATTATAGTTATAATAACATAATCTAAAATTATTATATATATATAATGTATTATACAAAATATTTTATTTGTTAAACATTTGACAAGCATATATATATAATAAAACGTCAACTCTAGATATAGTATAGGAAAACTAATGTTAAAAATATACAGTATTATGACAACTATAATAACTCATTACTGGTATTATCGCATAAAAAACACACACAAAACAAAAAACATTAATATTTTTATGTTAATGTTATCGAGGCTTATATGTGATTATCGTTATTATTATTATTATTATTATTATTATTATTACTACTACTACTACTACTACTACTACTACTACTACTACTACTACTACTACTATTCAACTTATTATATACATATTTTAATATTTATAAGGAAATATAAAATTTAAATAAAAGCTTAAAGTTTAAAAATATATATATATTTCTGTTTAAAATTTTGTTAAAATTCATAAATATTTAATTCATAAATTTATTTTTTTGTGTATGTTTAAAAAATGCAAACATTTTTGTTATTATACTAAATTACATTGTGTTTCTCATATATTTTTTTTGAAGTAGTTTTATTTGTTATTTTTTATCTTTATCTACAAAAAAAATTACTTAATACTTATTAATAATAAATATTTTGTTGTTGTTGTTGTTGTTGGTGTATATGTAAAATGTGTAAAACTAGAAAATAAAAATTGTCAAAAAAATATATATATTTTGAAACATGCATTTTTATATTATATATTTTTTAGTTAATATTAAATATCTCCTCTCAAAAAAAAATATTTGAAAATTTGTTGTTTTTTACTTATTAAATATTTTTAATATATTTAAGTACATGTATTCAATAAATTACTATAAAAATATTTTACATTAAATATTAATAAGTTTTTATAAATATTGTTTTTAAAGTAAATAAATAGTTATAGTTTTTATTTGATTTAATTAATTAAAAATCTATATGAATATTAAGAAATATTAATTAATAAAAAATACAGTATTATTATTAATAATAAGGAATTTGATTTGTATCTTCAATATAATATAATAAAAATAATAAATAATATAAGATATTTAGATAATCGTATTATATCTGAAAAGGAAAATCGTAAAAAAAATAAAAATCAATAAAAAAAATTATCATTTTTATTGTATTATATATTTATATATCTATATATACTGTATATATTGTATATATTGTATATATTGTATATATAATAACTATAATAAAAGTCTGTAGATTATAGGAGACACTTAATTTTCAATAGACTAACTCAAAACCAAACTCTACATTAGTTTATACCTCTAATATAAGAAACTATTTGATAAAATCAAATTGAAAATATTGATATTCTGTATATATATATATATATATTGTTGTCTATTAAACATAGTATTGAAAATTTATTTTATTATTTATTTATTATTATGATTTACTACTAATCTTAAACACTTTTTATATATTTTTAATATATACAGTAAACAATAATTTATTTCTAATATATAATATTTGTATTATTTTTTAATTGTATTGAATTTATATTATATACCGGTATATATATTGTAATTTACTAATGATTTTCTAATTATTATTATTATTATTATTATTATTAAATATACTGTATATATACAGTATATATATATATATATATTTAAATATATAAATTTATATACAGAACTTATAATTTATATTACATATACAATTACTGAAAAATGTCTAAAAAATTATCAATATATCTAAAATGTTTAAAAAAAATTAAGGATATTAAAAATAATTTATTGTAAATCATTAGAAATATTTTTTGTTGACTATTTTATATAAGTACTAATATTAAGAGAGAGAGAGAGAGAGAGAGAGAGAGAGAGAGAAAGCGGAAAACGTGAAGATATCTAATATATATCATATATAATAAGTCAAATAAATTTGCAATAAAACTCATTGAAGTGTAAGCAATGAGATTGCATTGCTTGAAATAATAATAATAGTAATAACAGTAATAATAATAATAATACATTGATATATATATATATATATATATATATATATATATATATATATATATATATATATATATATATAATAATAATAATAATAATTTTTTCGCATTAAAGATAAACTCAATAAATATAAATCAATTTTTTTTTAAAATCTTGTTTAAAATACAAAATACAACGATTCGCCTAATAAATGGTTTAAAGTTAAACTTAGTTTTTTATTTAGCTTTTTTTGAATGCCTTATATATATATTTATAAAATTGTAGTGAAATATTTGTTTAAATTTGAATAGTATTACATTTTATGACAAAATAAATGTAGATTTTTCATATATATATTTTAAAAGCATTAAAGTGCATATAATTTAGTATTTTATTCAAAAAATATTTTTAACATTTAAAATTTAACTTATTAAAATAATTGGAAAATATGATATTTTTGTATGAATATGATATGATATAATACTTATACAATATTTATATTGTTTTAAATTGTTATAAAATTTACTATTAGTATTAAATATTTCATAATAATTGCAATTAAGATATTGCCCTATGTTTTAACAATTAATTATTATATATTTTATGTATCAGATTATTAATATTCATTAATATATTATTTAACATTAATAGTATAAAATACAAATAATTAACATTTTTAATACTTGTATTTTTATTTTTATAAAATATTTTAGTATTTTAATTATCATTAAAAACTGAAACAGTATTATATTTCTACTTTAAATATAAATGAATTATAAATATTTCTATAATTTATTAATATTTAGCTTATTTATAATAATAACACAGTAATAATACATTTATTATAAAATTTAAACCTTTATATGAAATTTATTATTATTTTGCAAAATACATACCGATTCTAATGACATCCCGGTGTCCATCAAATTTAGATATGATTTGCCAAATGAGACAAAACATTAAATGATATCTCAGTGAAATCATTGTGTTTTTGATAGATATATAGATATAGATATATATTATTTGATAAATTATTCTGCGATTTGTTTGTATGTGTTGTTTGAGGTTTTTTTGTGTGTTTTGTTTAGGTAAGTGCTATATCATAGACACATACAAACAAAAAAAAACATTGCACACGATATCATACATTATTAATAGATATACAATATATTATATCACAACAACATTATATCTATATACTGTATATATATATATAGATAGATAGATACTATTTGTTTGTTACACAAACATAATAATCTTATAACACTTGTCGGCTATTATTATATAAAAAACAAACATTTTTCAATAATAATTTTTTTAAATAGAAAATTCAGAATATTCTTGAATAAATAATATTAAGTTATATATATATATATATATATCGGTAAAACTATAATACAAAAACAGATAAATAATTTTGTTTAATTGATGTTTTAATTCAATATAAATTTTAATGAATATATAACTTCTATAATAACTGTATTAATATTATTATAAGATATACATAATAAGCAGTTTTTTTATTTAGATATAGTAGTAGTAGTAGTCATTGTAGTTGATGCTGCTGCTGGTGTTGTTGTTGTTGCAGCACTGGTAGGTCAACTGGTATGTAGTGTAGAGTGGATAGTAGCCAATGATAAGTATGTATGTGTGTGTGTGTGTATGTATGTATGTTAAATAAAATAGTGAAAAACTAGATAATGTGAACTGTAGTGTCTGAAAGAATCGGTAGCACTGTTATGCAATTTTTCGGTTTTGTAGGTCTGAGCGATCGCTGTATGGTTGGGTTATTCAACACACTGTATATATATATATATATATATAGTATAGCATACACTGTATATAATACTATACTGAAAGTTATTGTTGAAAGCATCGGTATGTCTATGTGTGTGTGTATGGATGATGCATACAATCCATGTCTCAAATAAAAGTATAGTATAATAAATATATACAATAGTATTGAATTATTTTTTTAGGTGATGCTATTGCTGACTAGTGGTGCCCAACAATACTAACCATAATAATGATTGTTTGAAAAAAAAACATTTTATTGTAATTTATTTTTTTAAAAATATTTATTGAATTAATTAATATATATATATATATAAAATATAAACAAATATAAACAAAAATAAAATAATTGATTTTTAAATTTAATAAATCAAAATATTATTAGATATATAATAGAATATAAAGTATATATATTATATTTTTGTTGTAAAATTTAAAAGTATAATTATTTTTTTTAAATAAGATAAATTTATCAAATATTGTGTTTAAAATTAATATAAACTAATTTTTATTTATTTAATTAATAATAACATAAGTTATATAGCTACATAATAACATTAATTAAATTATATACAATAATTAGTGTCACCATCGAAAATCCTTTATAAATATTGCAAGTTTTGTATATATATATATAAATTAAAAATTTAAAATCAAATAAATTAAAAACAAACTAAATTTAACTAAAAATAGTTGATACAAATCTTTAAATTGCGTAAACAATTTATTTTTTTAATGCAAAAATAATACATAAGTAAAATGCAAGTAATGTTAGTAATTCTCTTATGGCCAATAAGGCTATGGCAAATAGGTATGGTGTCTGCCTAACTATTAAACTAAAGTTAAATAATACATATATTTAATGATAAATATATAATTTAAAAGATGATTACAACTATTGACTAAAAATTTTTTTTTTTCAAAAATCGGACATCATGACGTTTTGATAATATGATTTTGACTATTGAAACCGGCCGCTAAAAGCTTATCAAGAGCTTCCGCACACCGTTAACACGATACGTATGAGTTAACTCTATCGGACCGGTCACTCGGCAGTGGAGAATATAACTCCAGTGCGTCAGACGGGTAGGCCAGTTATATTAAGCTAAATTATTAAACACTTCACTTGTTTTGGTTTGAAATGTTCACATAATCTTGAATCTTGAATATATTTATATCTTGAAAAGTATATAATTACATTACAAATTACAATTAAAATCAACTTTAGAATTACATTATATATAACAACACATTTGTATAAAGAGAAACAAATAATATTTCGTTTTTGTAATGTATTAACACTATAGCCTATGACTACAAATTCTTTGTTTCACAACTATAATAAGCAAACAAGTTAATAAACAATATTTACCAAATATTACGTCCAACAAATAAAGTAAATAAAATGACTCAATGAAAAAAATGAAAACGATATATCACTCGAAATATTAAATGTGATATATAAAAACAAACTTGATATACGCTTGATTAAAAATGGCAGGTCTAAAAAACATCAGTCAAGTCATCCTCTGGCACTGGAGCATCACCACCAATAGTGTCAAAGAAATCACCATTAGACCGGGATAGTCAAAACACGTGTATAGGGTAATCAATAATATCATAACAAAATCTGGTGGAGTAGCAAAACTGAACTCCAATGATCACAGGAGGTTCACACATTTGGCCATTAATCACGACCATTGGAGTATCATTACCATCGCAACCAAAGCAGCAAAAAAGATGAAGTCATCAATTGGCACCCTAAGTTCACCGCAAACCTAATCCAACAACAAAAAAGCTAATAGGGTAATAGTTTATATTTTATTTCTAAAATATTTTATTAAACATTACTTTTGTATTGAAATAATTGTATACAAAATAATTATATGAGCTTGTTGTTATAACTTCTGTTTCAAAAGCTTTAGTTGTTAAATGTGTTATCTGATTTCTGTTTTTTTTAATTTAGCGAATTCATTAGCATATGAATTTTGATAATTACTATTGTCAGTAACAAGTTTATATTGAACTTTATAATTACAGTTCATATAATTATAAATTGCTATTGAATATTTTATAAATAATCTATATACATTAGCACTATGTTGGCACAACAGTCATTTAATTTATAAATATTTTTCTCCAAATTTCCAACAATTTAATTGCTTGTTCATTTGTGTAGGATAAAAAATTGGATAGGGCTGCAAATCCGATTCTCGTTTTAATATCGCTGATAGATTTGTTCGGGTGTTTTCAATGCTGTACCAATGTTAGAAAAATCACTGTGAAAAAAATTAAGTTGGCAATTGCACTATTTTTCGCATTAGAAGCAATTTTTTTGTTATCTAAAATAGTCTAAAAATTCGTTTAAATGCATTCTTCTGTTTTATTTTGCTAAATATCTATGAATTTGTCTTTTTTGATATTTTTTTTCATTAGTAATATCAATGTTATTAGTAGTAGATATTTGAATAACAATTATAATTAAATATAATTTTTTTCTATTCATTTTATTTGTAATATATAAAATAATTAAAAATAATAAAAATAACTAAATATACTTACATTGTTTTTTATTTTCATTTATTAAAATGGGTACATTTAATTAGTTTTTTTATTATTAATTATAATTATTTTTTATTTAATATAATATTTTAATAATTTTTTTTATTTTTTTTACAATTTTGTTTTATGAAATTTGATACTCATTGTTCTTAAAAAATTTTTATATAGCAAACAGTGCTTTAGCTATCATATGGTCCTCACTTCCATACCAAGCATTAAGTTTGAGTGAAAATTTTGACGTCATAGTATTGTTTGAATTCAAAATAATAATTATATATATATATATATACAGTGGTCTTCAAAATTTTTTCTCCAAAATTAGATAAACTTAATATAAATACATATATTTTATTTATTATAAAAATTTTATATAAATAAATAAATAAAATTATTATAAATATTTTAATTATTAATCGTGTTAAAAAAATAACAATATATCATAAATAAAATACATAATATTTTAAAACGAAAAATAATTAAACACATAATTATTCATTATTAATTTCCTCAGTTTCTTCAATATTGTCATCAAGTTTAGTTTTTTTTGTTTTTATATAAAAAAATTAAAATTGTTAAATTCAGTAAAAAATAAAATAAAATTACCCAAATTTCTATCAATTTCTGCGTTTGGATGTAATAAAGCAAATTGTTGAGCAATATTTAATGCATCAAAATCTTTTAAAAATGAACCGTCGATTTTAATTGTTAGCAAATTATCTATTGTATCAATAATCGTAATTTTGTTTTTCTTAAAATTCATTTCAAAAAATAAATAAAAATTAGTAAAAACAGATAATTTATTTTTTCATACTTACTTATTGTTATTAGTGATATAGTAACTTATAGTGATTTAGTATATAATGTTATTTATAAAATGGTTTTTAAAATTGATATTTATATTAAATTTATCTAATTTTGGAGAAAAAATTTTGAGGATCCCTGTATATATATTATTATTATTTTCAATTCAAACAATACTATGACATCAAAATTTTCACTCAAACTTAATGCTTGTTCCATACTGTTTGATATAGACAACTGTTTTATTGTTTATCATTATATGGCTGTCATTGTTGTTTTGGTTTTGCTTATAATGAGACAATTTACACATACACACACAACAAAAAAGTTTTATATATTTGTATAGTTTTCAAACACTAGATATCGCTGCTTATAATACAATATATTATTGTTGTATTATTGCTAGGGTTAGATCAGATTCCCTCCCTCGTCTTATTTTCCATAAGTTCCTTATATTCCCTCTTCCCTGGGAATTCCCTGGGAAGACATTTCCTTGTGGTACCACCTATCATACACTAACTCACATTACATAATGTTTAATTAAAAACACGTTTGTATAGTAAATGTCTACAAAATGTATTTAATGTTTTTACTAAATGTTTAATAATATTTTAATCATATTTTGATTGAGTTATTACTAACATACTGGTCCCAATGAAACACATAGATTAGGTACTTTTTAATGTATGACAAATTATATTTTCCCTTTCTAACGATCAAGGGAGGGAATATAATATATTTTCCATATTTTCCGGGAAAATTGGAGGGAATTTATTTGGGAACTTCCCTCCCTCGGAATCTCAATCTAACCCTAATTATTGCAAAACATGTGTGAATTGTATGATATTTTTTTTGTTTTGGTTTTATGTAATGTAAACATTGATTTCAAACATTTTCAATACATTATTGACTTATAATATATTTTTTGAATATCACTTCACTTTAATGATGCATTCAATCAAATAGTTTATCAAAAAAAATAAAATAAAAATAATAATAAAGTTTTTTTTGTTTGTTAATTAAAATAATTATTACAAAAAAAACAAATATATTATCATTACTTGTATTGTAATAATCAAATCAATTGGACTTTCATTTACTATATCGCAAGTCATCGACAACTATATCAAAGAAAGAGAGAGAGAGAGACCAAACATATATGAAATGACGGCCACTATTGATAAGCCAAACGACGGTAAGTGTTGTTGTCATCGGCGGTAACAAAGATATATCAGACACTTGTTGTTGTCGTCAGACATTTGTTTCATACAATTAATTACCACTTTTTTTTTGAATCCAACAAAAAAATCAGATGAAGTAATGAGACGAAAGCTATTACTCGATGGCGACGGTATTGGCGACGACCGTAGGATTAATGCAACGATGAAAGCGTTTATCAAATGGTGTTTCGATGGCAATGATGGCGACGGCGGCGGAGTCGGCAACACATCCGATAGCAGGTCAGGTGCTTGAAGTAGTCGGTGGTCAGTGTTTTTGTTGTTATAATAACTTTACGTTTTGTTTGTTTGTTTGTTTGTCTACCGATATATAGTGTCCTGTTATACGAAAAACTTGTCTACCAGTTGACAGTTTGCGAACAATCGATGGCCAAATCGGTTGATGTCATGTCGATGATTGGCCGCGAAATGAATAACTACGAACAGATTGGTAGAAAAATTGGTGACCAGATTGACGATTGTAGCCGAAAACTAGTCGAGTGTCGGACAGAGTTGGCGGCGGCCAAAGTTGTTCGGAAGAATAAAGTCGAATACGAATCGATGACCGCACTTATCGGCCGACACTCGGATCGATCGGTTACGCAGTCGGCTCTCGGGGAGTTGGAACGGGAGGTACGGGTTATGCAACAAACACGCAATCAGTTATCAGGAAAGTTAGATCAACGGAGACAACAGTTTCATGTGATGTTAGACGCCGTCCGACAACTCAATCAAATGCTTTCTGGTATTTATATAAAATCAAAATATTCAACGGATTTATTGATTGGATTTTAATTGTTTTGTTTTGTATTCATTTTTCCCACTAATTTCTAGATTCAGATTTCGATCAAGAATTGATGGATATATCCACTGATGAAATACAAGTCATCGACAACGACAACAACAATATCGACATCAATGACCAGCAAATAGTCGATTGAATTAAACGAAACATTTATTTTTGTATTATTATTATCATTAATTATGTCACTAATTAAGTCATTGATTAATTAATACTTATATTATCTACTGTTTTATTGTTTAAAAAAAACAATTACCGGATATTTCATTACTATATAAATATTTTTTTTATTGAAGTAATTTATTTTTTTTTCATATAATTATAATACTTTATTATCACTTTAAGCATATTGTGTTATATAGTTATAATTATGTTATTAATTCTGTAATTAAAAAATAAATAAATAAAAGAGATTATTTAGTTTAATACTCGATAAATATTTATTAGATATATATAATTATGATATTATTATATTATAACTGTACATATTTTTTTTTTAAATTATGTTTTATTTTTACCAATCATTATAGTAAATAATAAAGTGCAAATTTTAAAAATATAATTATCTGTACTATTTATTTAATAGATAATTATTGATTTTAAAACAAAGAAACCTAAATTACTTAATATACTAATATCACGTAATTTCAATATAAAAATAGATTTATAATGTTATTCTAATAGTATACTAGTACATTTTTATAATATTACATTTACATTTTTTTTTAAAAAGTAGTTTATAATAAAAAAAATATTACTTTTTTATTATTACTGTACCGGTAAATTAAATACATTAGATAAACAAATACATAAACTTTCTCTAAATGATTCTGCGTCAAATTTTATAAATCAAAATTTTTTAATAATTTTTAAGAAAAATAAGTATTATAAACTATAAACTAATAATAATAATTACTATTATAAAATTATAATATAATATATAATATTATATATAGATTATAATTTAGTATTATAATAAAATTTCATTTATGCTATTGAAAAATATTCATAATTGTATAACAATTGAACTTGTATAATATTATTATAACAAAAATTTAATTAAATTGTTTTTTTCATTTTAATTTATATGGCTTTTTTTAATTAAACAGTTTTTTTCCATAAATTCTTCATAAAATTATTAAAATTTTCTAATAATAATAAATTAAATAAATATTTAAATTAAAATTACTATTTAGTAATTGTAATAAGCAATAAATTTGAGACATTGTTTTTAAATCTATAAATGTATTTTATTAATTGCATTTCCGATAGCAATAGTCAACTATATTTCAAACAAGAGTTAGTCATAACATTTATTAAACAAATTGTATTGTTAAACATTTATAATATACATTTATAATACTATAAATATCATTATACAATTCTTAATTATTAAGTTTAGTTTTTGAGATATTAAAGAAAAAAATTTTTACTATTATATAATTTTTTCTTATAAAATTTTATTAATGATATTTGTTACTAAATTTATATAATGGTAAAAATGGTTTTCTTTAATATCTTAAAAACTAAACATAATAATTAAAAATTGTAAATTGAATAATTAATCTTTATAAAATAACAAATAATATAAGATAAATCTCATAACAAAATACTTTGACACTTTTATTTTATACCATAACAAAATATTGCATTTTCATATTTATGTATTTTTTATTCGATTACAGTAGAATTTTTAATAAAATCCTGAAACACGTATCAAATGATTTTCTATTTAGTATATTTAAAATTTTAAAGAATTTTGATATCGCTTATAGATTTTTAGATATCGAGCATCCCTGACCCCGCATCCCGGAGCTGTGATGTACGAAATGTGTTAATGCTATAACATACGTTCCATGATTCCATAGTACCAAAAAATTTTATATAATTTTAACTTTATTAGTTTTAAAGTTATAGCCAAAAAATCGTGTCAAGCACTTTTGTCCCTGATTGTGTATAATTTATAAAAATATAATATAAATTTTTAATTTATTGCATTTTAAAAATTGGGTTTTAAAAAAATTATTATTAGAAAAGAAAAAAATTTAAATATAAATTATTATAAATCTATTGATATATAAAATATTTTATAAACGTAAATAAATAAATAAAAAATAATCAAATAACTTTTATAAATTATATATCATTATTATTTTTAGTTTTTTATTATTAATTTTGAATGAAAATTGATATTTGTATACTATCATAAACTATAAATGTATAAATAATTGTAAAATAATTGTAAAAATATCCAAGATCAATAAACTAATTTCTTATTAATTAAATTATTTTATATAAAATTATATTATAAATTTAATGATATTCTAAATAAAGTTAATTATAAATCTAATTAATGTTTTATTATAATTTTATTTAGAAATCTGCAAAGTTTATTATTTATAAAAGTACATATACTATTAATTTTTTTAATATTAAAAAAATCAAAAAATTTAAAAATTATATTTTTATTAAAATAATATAAAACTCGACTAAAATAATATTAAAATTATTTAGTATCTTAATTATAATTAAATCAAATCATATATATATATACATAAAATATATAGTACGTTTGTTAAATAGAAATACTATGTATATCAAATAAAATAAAATGTTAATAATATTATTTTATTATAATAACATTGAAATTAATATTGCAATACTAAAAATTGTATATTAATTATATTTAAATTAAACAAAAAAATGTCTATTGAATATTTAATCGGCAATAAATTGGACACATTTTTTGTCAACAATTATCTATATCATCGCATTTCCGATGATTATATCAATGGTCAACAATATCTTAAGCAAAAGTTAGTCATAGTATTTATTAAAATAACGGTATTGTTGGCAACAATACGCTATCTAATATCAACACTTGTCAGCCGTCCGCTAGTTTGGTCACTGGTAGCCGATGCCAACTATCTATCGGGAAGTAATCCGAAATTAATTTCAGCCGTAATGATGGACGGGTCGATTATAGTACTACTTATTGGACTTGTAATACAATATCAAGATTGGACACAACAATTACATTTCCTAAAGTTTATTAATGGCTATAAATATAATAAACTGATGCCATTGCGTACTATACGACATAAAAAGCGTTTAACATTGTGTTTGAAATTATTGCTAAACTATTATATGCCGGTAACCTATTGGGGACTGTTAGTTTTAGGAAATATATATCTAATTTATTTATTAATAATGGCATATTTGGATCCCGTATCCGGATTCACAATATCAGGTCTAATGATTGCTATGTTAACCAATTACTATACTATCCAACAATTAGCTGCACTTTGCGCCGTTGGTGTCGTAACATTGTTTATGATATGCTGTTATCTTAGATTTATGTTCATTGAATTGAATGGTGAAATTGCCAATAGTATCAAATATGCTAACTGGCCAAAATTAAACTATACAATCGATAAACACCATGATTTATGCAAAATAGTCAAACAAAATAACGAATTATATAAATATATATTATTTTTCTATTATTATCTAACGGTTCCCGTATTTGAAATATTATTATATCTAATATTTTCACCAAAATCGACACCAATAACCCGATTAGTTTTGTTAGGTATGTTTATTATAGTATCCATTGTTGTATTTATAATGACAATGATGTCCACTTGGATATCAACATATGCTCACAAACCCTATTGTCTAATCTATAAAGCATTTAATATAAAATATCAATCGCCATCACTGAGAAATAAATTTATATTAATGCAATTTATTGAACATTTAACGAAACCGGAAATTGGATTTTATTGTTTAGATTTATTTCCAATGAATAATAAAGAGTTTACAATATTTGTCTTAAATTTTTTTGCATATCATTTATTAATGATTCAAAATTTTATGTAATTTTTTTCTAATTTATATTATACAGTATATTAGTGTTTTGTTTAGTTTTACAATTGCTATTATTTTAATTATAAAATGTATTAATTTTATTTGATTAAATTTTAAAAAAACAATAATTATATATAACTATAATTATAACTAATAAAAATACAATATATAACTTTATTTTAAAAATTATGATTCTTGTCTGATCTAAAAGATTCAAAAATCAATGTAAATGTTTTTGAGTATTATATTAAAAATAAATTTCATTTAGTATTTTTATAAATTTGCTTGAAAATTGTTTGTCATTTAATTTTATTACAATGTTAATCGTCAATTAAATTTACAAATAATATATCGGATTAATTATATATGTTAGATATACATACAGTATATATAATAACCACATTAATTTAGATTTTAAAAATCTTATAACAAATATATACTATTATACTAAAATATATATGATTATGATTATCTTATTCTAGAAATTATATTTATATATAATAATGATTACACAAATTTTATTACTATATTATATATTGTAATCATTATTTTATAATTAATGGCTAATCTTAGTGGTAGTATATTATGCTATAATATTATAATAAAATAATGTCATTAAAATATATTGATAATAATATTATAGTAATTATCATAAATTGGAAAACTATTAAATTATATTATTATTATTTAAATTTTTTATTTAAATTTTAACTAATAATTGTATAATATAATATATTCAAATAAAAACAACCATGCTTTATATATATATATATATATATATATATATATATATATATATATATTATAAAAATGTATAAATAATTTTTAGGTGCAAAATAATTCTTAAAAATAACTATAACAATAAAATATTTTCTTAATAATTATGATTTTTATTATTTAAGTTTATATTATTGTAAATAGAGTTAATTATATAAATATAATTGATGTTTTATTATAAGTTTATTTAGAAATATACAAATTTTGTTATTTATAAAAGTATAATCAAATGTACTCACATTGTTTAATATTTAAATTTTATTTACTATATATTTATATTATCTTTTAATGTTACAAAATAAAATTGCATTTGGATTAATTTGATATATGCTTGAAATACTTATAATAACGAGGTCAATTCAGATTTAAAAAAAATTTTATAACAAATAAAATACTCAGTTTTAAAAAATAAAACATAAAATATTTATTATAGTATAATATACTGTATACTATCATACTATGAAAAATGATATATGATTAGCAAAACAAGGTATATATTATTATGATTACATTACTCTAAAAATTATCATAGTATTATTATATTATGCTATTAATAACGTTCATTAAAAAATATTGATAATTTTATAATAAATAAATTGGTAAATTAT